AGAGCATTCATTTCCTAAAAGCCATTTCTATAGTTCAACACTGGTATCACCATTTCATCTTTTGAAAAGCCCAAATTTGCAGCAGTACACACACACCTATTCCCTTAACATAAGCAGTATTCCCAGCTCTAAACTGGGAGTACAAGCTCAAAGGGTGGCTATGATCACTATAGTGAGCATCTCAGAAGTCCCTTCTCAGAATGGGAGTTTCCCAAAATATCCATGGCTATTCACAAATCTTGGTTTACAAATCCATTCAAATATTCTTCCAGCTACCACCTTCCCAACCACACCATGAAACCACAAAATGCAAACGCCAAAAGCACGTTCTGGCTCTGAGGCGCAGATTTCTGGAAGGCACAAAAAGGCTGGAATTCAGTTCTACAGAGCAGTTTCCAGAAAGTAGCTTTTACCTTCTGAGATTCTTCTACATGTTTTCAGGTAAAACAAGAAGACCAATTCCTGGCATGCACTCCTTCTGCTATTCCAGTCATAATCATTAACACTTCAAGTAACTTAGGAAGTGCAATAGATACTACCATTTATGTCCTCTCAGTCCCAGGCATTTACCTGAAGCATCCTGCGCTTTGTATAAATATAGACCAAAAGAACTCCAAGATGTTAGCTGCATAAGGATAAAACAGGAGGGTACATGGATCAGTGTAAAGGTATTAACCAGACTGCTGAAATAGTGGACCTTGCAGTTCAAAAGTTTAAATTTATGCCTGAATATAGATAGTGCCTATGCATCCCTTCAAAGAACTGCCTTTAAAATTAATTTTATCTGCAATTCCAGGTGAAAGTATGAGCTGTCCAAATTAGGGAACAAAATATTGTCCAATGCCATCTTGTGGTAAATGAGAAAATAGTCTGTGCCATCTGGCTTGGATTTAAATACATAGGGACTCTGTTGCTCCACAGTATACAAATCATGCTCAAAACTGCTGACTTGGGGGAAATAAGAAAATTATCATAGTTAGAGTTAAAAAGGGTAAGTTTTTATATGCTAGCCATTAGAATTTCAGAATCAGCTATTTGTCTTCATCTTACATTTTCTTTTCATTTCAACAATACTGTTGTGGCATTACACTCAGAATCATTTCCATCACTCCAAAACTAACATAAAGGAAGATGTGATATAACTTAGTAGAGAACTGTACCTAGCATAAAAACTCGCATCACTTCCCTCAGCTACCATGAGTTAAGTGCTACCATGAACTTGTTTTTTGGGCACCAGGGATCAGTTCAAAATGTCATAGCCATACAAGCCAAATCACTGTATAGCTATAAAAAGATTCTTCCATAGCACATTTGTTTAAAAATAGCACAGAGGTATCTTCGACCCAGCTGACCTTTGGGCTCACACCATATCACCCGATCACCTCACTTGAAATTATGCCTGATGAGACATCTGCCAGGTGATACTGCTTCCCAAATTCCTCCCCTCCCTTCTCTGCAGGGAGAGAACACCTCTGTGTCAGTCTCTGGGATCCTGCAATAAAATACTATAATTTTGGTCCTGCAAGGAGCAGTTACAGGCACTGCTTTACAGCAAGGAGTGTCAGACATAATCATATGCTAAAAGAAGGGAAAAAAGAAAGAAAAAAAACCCACAACCAAAAACCACAGGGAAAGTATGTTCCTGTGTCGCAGTCCCTGTCCTGTTCAGTGTTTGGATGTCATGGCACACCCCTAGTGCAGGCAGAGGTAGGGGAAGCTGCAGGGCCCTGTTGGCTCTATGATGGTCCCAGCTCTATGCTTCTGGCATTGTCTCCCCTCACCTGCAGGCTCTTCCCACGCATTTTCCACCTCAGCACCACTCGCGGTGGCAGTGAGAGATGGGTTTGGGGCCACCACAGCCCCCGCGCAGCCCCAGCCTGGGTGTCACGGGGGATTCATGAGTACCGTTGGTGATACCATCAGTGAAGGGTCTAGAGAGTAAGTTTTCCAAGGAGCAGCTGAGGGAGCTGGGGTTGTCAGCCTGGGGGAGGCTCAGGGGTGACCTTATCACTCCCTACAACTACATGAAAGGAGGTTGTAACCAGGTGGGGGTTAGCCTCTTCTACCACACAAGTGACAGGACAAGAGGATAGAGGCTTAAACTGTGCCAGGGGAGGTTCTGGTTCAATATTAGGAGGAATTTCTTCACAGAAAGGGCAATTAATCATTGGAATGAACTGTCCAGGGAGGTGGTGGAGTCACCATTTCTGGAGGTGTTTAAGGAAAGACTGGACGTGGCACTTTGTGCCATGGTCTAGTGACACGGTGGTGGTGTTCGATCATAGGTTGGACTCGATGATCTCAGGGGTGTTTTCCAGCCTATTCGATTCTGGGATAGGAAGCGCCTGCCCGTAAGCCAGGGACGCCAAGGTGCGGTGACACAGCAGCGGCGGGGGCAGACCCCGGGAGGGTCTGTGGGGACTCGCGGCTCTCTCAGGCGGGGCCGCGACTCTCAGCGCCTCCCGCGCCTCAGGACTACATCTCCAGGCGGGCATTGCGCCGATCCCTCCCCCACGGGCAGGGCTGTTCCGGGCACGGCGGTTCCGGCGCTCTGACCCGGAGGAGCTTCCCCGCACTCCCGGGGCGCCGGCGGGGCCGCTCGCACGTGGTGCCGCCGCCGGTATGGCGGCCGTGCGGGTCGAGGCGGTGCTGGCGGCCGCCGAGGAGCAGGAGGCGGAGAAGCGGCGGAGCATCACGGTAGAGAAGGAGCTGGAGCTGGAGTTCGACTTGGGTAACCTGCTGGCGCTGGACCGCAACCCCCCTCCAGCGGCGGCGGCGCTGCGCGGGGCCGGCCCGCGGCGGGAGGCACTGCTGCGGGCGCTGGCCCGCGACAACACGCAGCTGCTGGTGTCCCGGCTCTGGGAGCTGCCGACCGAGCGCGTCGGCGGTGCCGGGGGGCCGCTGGTGGCGCGGCTGCCCGAGCCCACCTTCCGCCTGCCGCGGGAGAAGCCGCCGCCGCGGCCGCGGCCGCCGACGCGCTGGGAGCAGTTCGCGCGGCTCAAGGGCATCCGCCGCCGCAAGAAAACCTCGCTGGTGTGGGACGAGCAGGCCAAGGAGTGGCGGCGGCGCTGGGGCTACCGGCGAGCGGGCGGAGACCCGGCCCGCGCCTGGCTGGCGGAGGTGCCGGCGGGCGCCGACCCCGAGGAGGATCAGTTCGCGCGGCTGCGGCGGGAGAAGCGGGAGCGAGTGGCGCGCAACGAGCTGAACCGGCTGCGCAACCTGGCCCGGGCCCACCGCGCCGGGAGCGCCGTGCCCGCCGCGCCCCTGCACCCCACCGGCCACCAGGACCGCGAGGAGCTGCGCCGGGTCGCCCGCGTCGCCCGCGTCTCCACCGCCTCACTCGGCCGCTTCCAGCCGCGGCTGCCGAAGGAGCCGGCGGAGCCGCCCTCCCGCAGCGGTGGCAAGAAGCGCCGCTTCGAGCCGCTCCTGGGCAACCTGGCGGCCGAGCGCAGCCGGCAGCTGGAGCTGCTGCGGGACATGGGCAGCAAGAAGCCGGTCCTGGACATCACCCGCGCTGTCAACAAGCAGATGCGCCAAGAGGAGGCCGAGGCGGCCGCCGCCCACAAGGGCAAGAAGCAGTCGCAGCGGGGCAAGCGCGGCCGCCGGCAGCAGCGGCCGGGCCGCAGCGGCAAGAAGAGCGGAGCCCGGCGGCAGCAGCAGAAGCCCGCGGGCGGTGGCACCGGCGGCGGCAGGAGGAAGAAGGCATGAGGAGGGACAGTGTGCAGCACGGGCTGGGGATGCCCTCTAAGGCGTGGGAAGGGACTGTCACTTGCAGCCTCCCGCCCCGTGCTCTGTTCACACACATACTTGTCAATAAATATGCTCTGGCCTTTCTAAAATGTCCTGCTTTTGGATCTTATCTGGCAGTCAAGGAAGGCTGTGTTGTCCATCCAAGGGAAATTGGTGGTGTATCAAGGGGGTTGAGAGGCTGGGGGTTTCACAGTGACATGTGTCACATGTTGCTTCAGCATCTCCAGGCAGGACCGAGGCTGGGCAAAGCTGTCCCATGTTTGGGTAGCTGGGACTTGGAGTGGACCACAGCTGTGACCTGTGTGATGGAGTAACAGCCACGGATAAAGTTAAGAGGATGTGGCTGCTGTTTTCTGCTCTGGGCAAGTGGCCTGACGGTGGAGCTCTTGCTCTGTTAAGTCAACTTCTGCTGCTCAGCCCTTGTATGCAGGCTGAGTTACCAAAGAGATGAAAAAACTTACTGTAAGATTTATTGCAGGGCCTAAGAAATTGTACAGATTCTCTAGAGCAATCTGTTGATGAGAAAAGGAAGTCAAAACCAGCCACTGAATTCAACAGAAAAATGTTTGCATTGAACAGCAAGTTAAACCCCAGATTTCTCCCCACAGTAATACTAATCCATCATTTCATAGAAATAGTTTTACAATGCTTTTCTTCACCAAGCAGTCTGAGAGCTAATAGTGGAAATTATTTCAGACTTCTGCACATTATTCTTTTGAACTTTGTAGGTAACATGTAGAAAAAAAAAATAAGCCACCAGTGTGTGGCTTAACTATTTCCTGGTAAGAAAGTTAGTAAAACAAGTTTCAGCAGTCTCTCTTCAGTTAGGTTTTCAAACTTTCAAGTTTGTGAATTGTTAGTGATATTATAATGCCTCACTGCAAATGAGTTTTTGAAAAAACTGGGTGACTATAGCAGTTCTCTTGTCCTATTTTGTAGCAGTTCAGTTCGGATGGCAGCTTCAGCAAAAAGCATCCTAAAGGAAAACGTCTGTGTAAGGCAGCTGCCAAGGGCAGAAGGGGTGTGTACACCTTGGGGCTTGGATGGCATTGATGGACTGAGTAGCACTCAACCATGTGTTGTTTGCCTCTTAAATGTTTCTTGTCCCTGTGCTGAGCAGTTTGCCCTGCTGCAGGCTGCTTCAGTCTTGCTGATGTCAGGAATGGCCTTGTGGACACAACCCTCTGTTATCAAGCCTTCAGTGTGAGTATCAAGACAAAGCAGGGGCAAAAAACACTTGAACAGGTGGAAAAGGTTGTTTAGAGATACGTTCCAGACCTCTGAACTTCCAGGCATTGCCACAGGGCATGTCTTTTACCTGCTCAGCCAGAGAGATGGGGTCTTTCACAATGCATACACACACCTCGTAAGTATTCTATGCTGTTGATGAGGTTATTGGTAAACTTTCTTCACCAAAATCCTGAGCGGTCTGTGCATTTCCAGCAGTGATGAAGTAACCTGAGCAGAGGTGCAGGTGCCCCTGTGGTGCTAACAGTTTCTGGTTCTCACAAATGGATGGTTTCACAGCTTCATGTAGGTGCCTGGTCAGGCCATTAATATGCTTTTCTGAGCTCAGCACCTTGCAAAATCGTCCTTTTTAAGCTCAGCTGATCCATTCATAGAATCACAGAATCGTTTGAGTTAGAAGGGACCTTAAAGCTAGTTCCAACCCCTCTGCCATGGGCAGAAACACCAGATACTTGCATGTCCACAAAACGGAAATTTTCAGTATCTTCAATATCTGAAGTACTTTTTCTTTCCTGGAGACCCAGAGTACACCAGCTGCCTGCCTTTAAATTGTATTGCAAATAAATTCCTTATTTGATGCATTAACCTTTTTTGCAACTCTCAAATAAAACATAGCAGTATGCAAAGGCAAAATACCTGCTACAACAGAAAAATGATGCTTTCTTTGTCAGAATCCAATATCACCTTTGCTTAATACTGATATACATTTCTGTCAGCTAAGCAGTATACCTTAGAGAATCTTAAGAATGTGGTTACACATTTTGACTCATCCTGCACTGTAGTTTACTATGTAATTTCACAGAATCATGGAATTCTTAGGGTTGGAAGGGACCTCTGGAGATCATCTAGTCCAACCCCGCTGCCGAGGCAGGGTCACCTACAGCAAGTTACGCAGGAACACGTCCAGGTGGGATTTGAACGTCTCCAGAGAGGGAGACTCCACCACCTCCCTGGGCAGCCTATTCCAGTGCTCTGCCACCCTCAATGGAAAGAAGTTCTTCCTTGTGTTGCGGTGGAACTTCTGGTGTTTTAGTTTATGGCCATTGCTCCTCATCCTGTCGCTGGACACTACTAAAAAAGTCTGAAAAGTATTTAAGCTAATTGCCCTATGCTCAGGACCGTGGCTTTTTTATTTATTTTTACTCTGCAATCGAACTACTTTCAGTATTTTTCCGTGACAAGTACTATGACCCGCGCTCAGCCCTAACTGTACTTCAGTGGCTCTTCATGGGCACTCTGTGTTGTGTATTTTAGCAATCAGGCTTTGCTTGCCTTGAAACAGGCGCGGGTTGGGTTTTGCAGTTCGGTGCCTGCTTTGACCGCAGGGGCATTGACTGGGGAGGGACTGAATGCGGACAGTTCTTATTTAACCCGTGCGACTGGTGCGGGGCCGGGAAGCGGCGCCTGACCCGGGAGGAGGCGCTGCCGCCGTCCCGTCCCCGTCCTAATCCCGATCCTCGTCCGGCCGCAAGTGCGCGATGGCGGCGGGGCGGGCGCGGGCCGCTCGCCTGCTGCGGCAGCTGGAGCGGGCAGCGTGAGTGCGGCGGGACGGGACACCGAGGGCCATGGGTTTTCCCCCCGGGGCCGGCACTGCCGGGGGCCGGGGCCGGGCGGGAGCCGCGTGTGGAGAGTGAAAAGCAGCGGCCACTCCGTCCTCCCTCCCGCCGCACACCGCTGGAGGCTCTTGGAATGGGTGCTTGCAGGAGACTTTTAGGCAAGGACAGATTCGTTTGTCTGCTTTAGTTTCCCCTTTTAACCATACTTTTCTTTTTTTTTTTTTTTTAACATTTTAATTAGATGTCGGTGCCCGAGCCATGGCCACACTTACTCCCAAGGTAAGACTTAATTTGCGCTTCCAGAGTAAAATTCTGTAGGAGACCGTGGCCCTGCAGAACCATATGTATCAGTGTAACCAAGGCAGAGGTGTAGGTAACAGGTGGGAAAGAGAGCAGCTTGAAGGATAAGGTAAGCAGTCTGTATTTTGCAGCTGTACAGGGATACTGGTTATTGTTGGAGAGATTCACTGTTCCCACATAAACCAAAATTACTGCCTCCTGTCCCCTCCCTCCCCATACCTTGAGGCATGTTGATCAGACATTTGCTCTGGCTGCTACTACTGCTGTCACCACCTGAGCCATCTCCACTTTAGATCTGCTTTTGGATACACACCTGGTACATTAGAAAGGAAACATGAAGCATTATGGATAAGAAGTAGCTATTCACAAAGGTGGAGAATAAAATCTCTGTAGACTTTTTATACAGTCAGTGCCAAGAAGGCAGCTCAGGCCAGGGTTGTGGAGTCAGAGCAGGAGGCCTGTGCTGAGTAACCAAGCCACCCTGGAGGAGTTTCTGTGTGCATGGACTGTAGGGAGGCTATGAGAATAACTATTTGTGTCAGTCTCCAGATAGCTGATTGGTCTCCAGATCCACTAAAAATTAGTATTTTTGGGCCATAATTTCTGTAATGGGTAATTCTGAGTAGCTTGGTTTCACATGTTTTACTGAAGACACTTTTTGAAAAGTTGCCATTGCCATTTCACATATAGAAAAGCCATATCTATGTTCAGATACTTGTCTTGTCCAAGGCCATCATACAGGAAGACAATAGCACAGCTGAGAAACAGAATCTCATTCTTCTGCTTGTCTGCTTGATGTTCTACTCAGTCAATTCAAACTAAGCTCTTCCTAAACAGAAGTCTTAGTTAAGCACACTCCGTAAGTTTTAAGCATCAGTTGAGTCTATAGTGTAGCAAGATGATATCAGTTCAGTAAGTCTCTAAATAGTCAGAATTGATTTAAAGTGACTGTAGAGGAAAAATAAAAGTTCTTTATGTTTCTTGGCAGTGTTCAAGGAAATAGTGCCGTTTTTGAACTCAGTCAAATTTCCTGGAAGTTAAGTTTGGCTCAAGAGTACAACAAAAGGACATCTATTATACTATCAGAAAGCAAGAGAGTAAATGATTTGGACATGTTCTTAGCCTGTCAAATTAATGACTGAAAGTACAGCAGACTCAAGCTCCAGGAGAGGTCAAACATGTCCAGCCTGGCAAGAGGTGGCAATGAAAGAGCTGATAGCAGCTGGCCTGGGCTTCAATAGAAAGTGCATAAAGGATTTTAATACATCTGTGTGTTACTGTTGTGGGTCAGTGCTTCAGTGCACCCCAGAGTGTCTGTGATTCATTATCATGGCTTCACTCATTGGATCTGAACCCAAATTACATATTTTCAATTAATATAGCACATGTAAGGCATGACTTCAGCAGGAAGAGCAGAATGCCTCATCTGACCTTTCCTTGGAGAAGAATGGGCAGTGTCAGTTGATGTGGTTTGTTTCACTCTGTGGCAAAATCAGGATATGCCAGAAATTGAGTTTTGTGATGATTCATGCAAGAATGACATGACAGAGAGAGGCTGTGACTGAAAGACTGTCCTCATAAATATCTTTTCTTCTAAGTAAGGTTGATAGTAACACACTGATTCTTATTTATTATTAGAAATGCATGCAGTTTCTTACTTTTCTAGCAAGCAATTCAGTTTCACCTGTGAGTTCAGGACTAGGCAGAAGTAAAGAGAAGTGTAAACACCTGTCAGTATTGCTCCCACACATACAAAAGATTTTCTCTATCCAGGTGTATATGGAGGATGTCTCATGGATTTGTCTTAAAAGTTGTTCTGAAGGTTATCATCTAGCCCCTACACATTTCTAGCACCTCCCAGCTTGTAGCACCCTGTGTGCTCTGCACATACTCGATTCTACTTATCATGTGCTTTTCTGGTCTTTGCAGACTGCAAACATTCTCATACAAACTTCCTGCTAACTTGTTCGGTTTTTATAGGAAATAATTCTTGAAAGAAGGGAAAAAAATACTTGTTTTGCGGAACTATATTAATCAAATCAAGTACTTAGATAATCTCACAACCAACAAGGGATGAAATGGGTAACTGTTATCCAGACAAGCTGAGACAACCTGTGCAAATATGTTAGTGATTCTAAAAGCAAGGAAGTCTGTCAACTTTAGTGTTGAGAAACAGATTGCAATAACTTTTTGTTCTCTAATTTTACTGTTTCATTTCCATTCCAGTCCCTGAGCGGCCTACCCTGGGAAATACAGACTATGCATTTGAGGTAGGTTTAATAATCAAATGTATTTGATTTAAAAGTAGTATACAAAACACTAATTGCTAAACATGGCATTTAACAAATAGTTACATTATTAAATATTTATATTTCACTTTGTCTGTGTGGTAGTAGATACCATTTATCCATTTTTCCAGAAAAAAAAGGTTGTTTGGTTTTGATTTGTTCTTTTTTTTTGTAGATGGCCATTTCAAACATCCGATATGGAGAAGGAGTTACAAAAGAGATTGGCATGGTAAGCTGCTGTGGTGTAAGTCCATCTCGGGTGAGAAGTTACTTTCTAAAGGGCTGATGGTGCTATCAATCCGTTTTATGAAGGAAAATTTATTTATGGCGTGTCTGAATCTCCACTGATTTGCAGTATGTGTTGTCATATATACCAGTGTAAAAAGGCTGGAAAATACTGTTGGGTACAGAACAGAAGCATGTTGCATCAATGTTGCTGTGGTATAACTGAGAACATGAAATGCAGCTTGGGGGATAATTAGATAATTGATGATTTGCTAGGATTATGCAACAATATTTTTCACTGACAGGGAATTTAATTCAGAAAGTTCTGAATCCTGGTGACTCACCAGGATTTTCTCAAGATGAATTAGAGACTTTCCATTAAATTAACTAGATACTCATTCAGCTCTGAGTTTGCACCGTGAAAATGAAGAATTTTTTTTTCAGCAATGTGAGATGATTCACCTGAATACATTGTTCCAGTTTGCCTTTATCACTGGCTTTTTTCATTTATCATTTTTTCCTTCTTGGCTTTTCTGGCATTAACAATTCTCTTTTTTATTTGCAAATTTGTAAAGCAAGATAACAGTCAGTAAATGAAATCAGACAGAACCTCTGTCTTCAAATAGTATTAGAATTATTTAGAATTGCATGTATCACTTCATTCATCATTGTGACAATTAATTTAGCAAAGGTTAGGATGTATTATTTTTCTCCCTTTTGACACCTTATTTTGATTTTTAATCAATAAATTAATATTCAGTATTAAATTTCCAAGATTTTGATCCTGTGCTTTGGTAGGCATCTAGGGGAGATAACCTGTGAAAAAACCTTTTTATTGTCACAGAAATTGTGTAGGAAAATTATTTTAAAAAAAAAATTTACATTTTACTCTAGTCTTAACCATGTGGTTCAATAACTTTAGTTTTCTTCTACCGTAAGACTTCAACTATATCCGTTTGGCAACTTTAAATTTTATGCTGCTTTCTGCATCCTATATGTGTGTGGTTAATGCTCTTTTTCTTCAGTTTTATGGTTTTAAAAATTTTACAATAACCAACTATTTTTAGGTTGGGGTTCTTTTATTATTAATTGATCTGTTGATTTTGATTAGTTTTTAAATTGTTCAGTGTATGATTTTTACTAGTCATTTGGTTTTTAATGTCATTGTTATTGTAGGACCTGCAGAATCTTGGTGCTAGAAGAGTTTGTTTGATGACAGATAAAAACCTCTCCAAACTCCCTCCTGTAAATGCAGTATTGAATTCCTTGGCAAAATATGGTATAAACTTTCAGATATATGATAATGTCCGGGTGGAGCCAACAGACCAAAGGTACTACTCACTTCTGACAGTGCATTTCTCCAGGTAGTTCCTAGGCCTTTCCAGCATTCCCTGTGGCTGTTTAAACACCTTGTGACCTGCATGCTGGTCTTAATAGTTAGTTTCCCTATGTACTGGTTTAATCCTGACTAATTGGAAATCCTTTCTTGTTTTCCAAGTTTCCTGGACGCCATTAGATTTGCCAAAAAGGGAGAGTTTGATGCCTATGTTGCTGTTGGAGGTGGGTCTGTGATAGACACCTGTAAAGCTGCCAACCTGTATGCAGCCAGCCCGACATCAGAATTCTTGGATTATGTCAATGCTCCTATTGGGAAAGGGAAGCCTGTCACTGTTCCCCTCAAGCCACTGATTGCAGGTAAAGCAGGAGGGATGTGTGTGGAGAGTGAGGGCTTGGGGGAAGGGGAGTTATTCTACACTCTCTGTGATATTTCTATTGAAATCAGTTTACCATGATTATTTCAGCTTCCTCTGGGCTTACTTCTCCTCTAGTTGTATTCAGCAGCAATTTTGCTACTTACTTCAGTGTAAAAATCAGAGCTGTTGTAATTAGTTTGTCTTGTTTAGCTCAGTTAGACTGCTTTTACTGAGAAAAGAGATCAAAGTAACAGTTTCTCTTTGACCTATTGGCTTTGGATCAGGGATTCCTCCAAGATTTCCTGGTTCCTGTATTTTTGGTGGTGTTACTATTGTGGTTTTATTTACTTATTTTGCAATATTATATATTATTTATTTGTTGTTATCCCCATTCTTCCTTTTAAGTTCCTACAACATCTGGCACTGGAAGTGAAACCACTGGTGTTGCCATTTTTGACTTCAAAGAACTAAAAGTTAAAACTGGTGAGGTTTTGCTGTTTTGTTTGGGGGTTTTTGTTTGTTTGTTTTGTGGGTTTTTTTTGTATGCTATGCAAGACAATTGCTTTTCCAATGTCTTTGTTATTTCCCTGCCATGAAAGGAAGGGATACCGCATGTCATTTCAGGTGTCATTTTGTTTGAGTCAACTGCCACAGGCAAATTTGAAGAGCTTAATGGTTTCCTCCTTGAATTAAATTCATAGCATATTAACATAATGAAATACCTATGTAATACATTGGATTATAGTTTGAAGGCAAAACAGGAAACTAAAATCTTTCAAGTCCTTAAATGGCAGAAAATGTTAATTGCAAAGGAAATTTCTACTTATATTCAGGGTCAACCAACTGTTCCTTATTTCCTCTGTATTTTTCTTTCTGCTTTTAAGACTTCTGTTTCTTTGTTGTGTAATTGCAACCAAATGTTCCTTTTCCTGACTTTTGAAACCTCAGGCCTGGGATGCTGTGCAAGTGAGGGACAGTCTTCCCTTGGCCTTTTCATCCCTGCCAAATAAAGATTAAGGCTAAAATGTCATCTTGAGCTTCATAGCTGTTTCGAGGTTTTACTTCTAAACATGAGGTTTTACTACTAAACATTTTATATGCCATGCAGTCTGCAGTACTTGGGACCCAAATGGGTATGCTAAGATGTTCTGATAATAGCTCAAGAGTTTTCTAGTCTATACGTAGTCAATCAATCTGTGTCTGTCTGTCTCTCCCTCAAAGCTACATCTGTGCCTCCATAACCAAAATACGAGGGCATGGTTATTACAGATGCTGCAGACAGCAATTGGCAATAGCAATCGATTGTAGTCCCAAACCAGTTATGCCCTCTGATTGTTCACAGGAGATACAAATTAAGGAATACTGCAGATGCCATGCAGCACAGACATTTTGCAAGTATAGGCTGTTCAGGGAGTGTTGCAAACAGAGAGAGAATGCTATTCCCACTTCAGGCAAAAGTCTCAAATCATATAAGCCTGTTACAGGGACTTCATCATCAGTAAGATACCTATGATCTACATTTATAGGTACTCCTTGCTCTCCCTTCTCTCTCTTCACTTTTACGTTCATAGTTTCAAATAATTTCCCCTCCCTATTGTGATGTTTTGAACATTAAGCTTGTCCTATTTTGTTGCAAAAAATCTTTCACCGATTTCCCTCACTTACATATTGCAGGTATTGCTTCAAGAGCCATTAAGCCAACATTAGGCATCATTGATCCTTTGCACACACTGTCTATGCCTGAACGAATAGTGGCCAACAGTGGCTTTGATGTGCTTTGGTGAGTTTTCTGTGTAGGCTGCTACCTGAACTTATTACATTTTTGTATTTTTACTATGATGATTGTAGAAAAAAATATATTTTGGGAGCAGAAAAAGATGATCTTTTTTCTCCTTTTGCTCTTCTTGTTAAGGTGAGCTCTGTTATACTTTCCTCTTAGTTTCACTGCCTCCCTCAGAATGTATGGAACCAAATCATTCATTTGCAGAAATTTGCTTCCAGGATGGTTGCTGTCAGGGAAGAGGCTCCAGGTGTCCTTTTTTAAGAGGTCATGGAGATGATTAATCAGAATTTGGACAGCAGTTGTCATGTCTCACAGACATGGCAGGGAATAGAGAACAAGGATTTTCTAACAAAAGCCATGATGTGTCAATAAAAGTTTGTAAAGGCTTCTGAGATGCTGGCAGGTCTTCACCCAATTATGGCCATCTTTGGAACCTCTTTAATTTGCTGTTCACTTGGCACAAAATTTTCTTCATCTTAAACCTACAGCTTTTATTTTCACAAAATGCATTGACATTTCTATTTGGAGAGCCAGAGCTTACTTTGCTTCTGGGTTCTGTGTATATTAAAGCAATAGAGCTGTAATGAAACAGTGATTTCTCAAGCTTGGTGAAGTACCCTGAACTGCAATGCGTGTAATGGAATCGAGGCATTTGTTCACCAATGCAAATGGTTTGTCTGTAGTTTTAAACATCTAAATGTAGCTATGTACTCAGTGCCCCTTCTTTATGTGGTCAGATTCATGAGTATCTCAGAGATTAAACTGTTGGCGGTTCCACTCAGCTTAAATATCATACCCCTAATTTTTTAAAGGTTGATACTTCTAAAAGAAAGGTACCTTAACGATGCTTCCCGTGCTAAAGCTTCTTATAGTTCCTGTCCCACAGAAAGGAAATGCACCCATTGCACATGTACAGTGTTCTTCAGTGAAAAGCATTACACACCAAGGTGCCAATGCATCCAACCTAGCTTTAAGCATGGTGTGAGCTGATAGGTAGTGACTGTGTTTGAATTGCCGTCTGTGTGTTTGTTGGAGAGTGAAGCACTCTGGAGGCGCCTGCCTGGCATTCTCCCAGTTGTCTATGAGATTGTATTTTTGTTTTTGGCAACTGTTAAACACTAGAAATAAATAAGAACCTGCATTCAAAGGACAGCAGGGCAGTAACATGCAGCTCTCCTCCTTAAATAATTAATTTTTTAATCTTTCTGTTAGCCATGCTCTAGAATCATACACCGCTCTTCCTTACAACATGCGCAGTCCCTGCCCTTCAAACCCGATCAACCGACCAGCTTACCAAGGCAGCAACCCTATCAGTGATGTCTGGGCTCTTCATGCTCTGCGTATTGTGGCTAAATATTTGAAAAGGTAATACATCTAACAGCCATCTACCTTGCAGTATGTTCTGTCTTTAGTGCCCTGAAAGGGATGCTTGGAAGAGCTTGAATTTTAGGCTAAATTAAGGCAAGCTGCAACATTAAACTTTCGTTTTTTACACGGGGTTTTTCTTAAATAAAGGAAAAATTTTTTTCAAATACAATTAAAAATAAATTTGGGGTTAATAGGTTTCTTGAGGAGGTAGCTTTTTAATGCCTCTGTGAATCTATTTTAGAAGTCCTGTTAAAGGTATTTCAAGCTGCTCAGTTAATATGGGAGCATCAGTTACATATTTTTCCAAGAATCAACTTTTTATGACAGTACAATGGGAATATGTAACAAACTGAACAAAATACTGCTGATGTAACTTCTGTGACCATTAGAGTAAATTAAGATACTTACACATCCATCGAGAAGGTAGCCACATACACTTACGAATGTGCAAAATTATGCATTTATTGAAAACCTGCTCGTACTAAGAAGACCTTCAATTTAGAATAAGAATTGGCTTAATTGGATGTTGATTTTTATTCCTACCAATAAAGTTTTAGCTGGTATACAGCTTTTGTATACCATGTGCCCTTCTATTAAAGATCATTGTGGAGTTTTGTTGTAAAAGACTTTTTACAGTACCTAGCTAGTCAAAATAGTTTTTTGTTTTCATGTAGAATCTATTCACGAGACTTTTTCTCCTTGTTGTCAAAGTACACAAGGAGCCTGAGGCATAGAAAGGCAAGGAACCCTGTCTTTTTCTCACAACAGGTGATGGGGTCTAGACCACCACCTAATGAGTGGAGCGATCCTTGAGCTGTACATAGAATGGCCAAAGCTCCTAAGTAGTTGTTTAAATCACCACTGAGGTTAATATGGTTAAATTCACTCTGTTTACTCATTTTTTGGAAAAGTGAAAGGAGGCTTGCCCTTCACTGAATCAGTGTGATCTACTTAGTGATCCAGAAGCAGGATTGTTATCTTACTGCAGTGTGACTTGATCCTGTTTCCAGCATTTTCATCTCAGCTTATCTTAGAGGGTTTTGTCTATCTGTCCATAAAGAAGCCCTCTCCCCCTTCTCCCTCCTGAATCACTAATCTATTTGTGCACAGAGCCATCAGAAACCCTGAAGACCGTGAAGCAAGAGCTAACATGCACCTGGCAAGTGCTTTTGCTGGTATTGGCTTTGGCAATGCTGGTGTCCATCTCTGGTGAGTATAGACAAATAGTAACCCCATATGAGGTCAGCTTCTAGCTAGTGTTTGTTTCAGATTGTCAAAGATGTCACTGCCTTTGTTGCTGAATGTATAGTAAGGGATTGTAGCCTGGCCTGTGGATGCTGAGGGAGCTGTGTGTTGTGAGAAATTGAGGGGCTTTTGGCATTTATGTGTATGAGGATTGTGTATTCTGGTTTGTGATACTCAAATCCAATCACGTAAAAATTACAAAACATGGCCTTCTTTACCTTCCTTGATAGTAAAGACCACAGTAAAAAAAAAAGTCAATTACATCTAAAATATTAGATTTCATGCCAGCTTTTCTGCAGTGAGACAGAATGATGTAATCTTGTGCTTTTCCTGAACTGATGCAATTGTCTGTAAGTTTGTCTGTAGGGTAGGCAATCAGCAGGCTGAAACGAGCTGTAATTATTATTGTAAGTCAGTATAGTTTCATTTGGATGAAAATCTCAGAGACTGAATTGTGTGAAGTTATTAGCAGTCATTCTTTTCAAAGATGTTCCTTTTATTCCTTTTCTTTGAGCAAGTCTACTCTTTTAATTATACCTTAAAATTAACGTTTATTTTTCTTAGACAGTGTGATCATGTAGGGATGCAAATTATGGTATTTTTGGCATATCTGTATTATTTCAGGAACTGAACATCTTTCAGTCCAGTCAATGGAGTAATATAGCTTCACACTCACAAAGTAAGGAGGTACTGTTTTTTACAGCTATGTCCCTGAGGTGCAGAGGAATGAGGATTGTCTGTACCTCATATCCACACCATAGCTGTATGTCAATACCTTTTGAATATCTGTACTGAAGACACTTGCATACCAAAAACTGACCACACAAGGGACTGAAAGCAAATTTTCCAAATACCAGGAGTGCTGCCCTAACCACTTGCTCTCTGCTCTCTGTTCCAGCCATGGAATGTCTTACCCTATTTCTGGTTTGGTGAAAACTTATAAACCAAAGGATTATAATGTGGATCACTCTTTAGTGGTAAAACTTGGTTTATCTTTGGTTTTGTATTATAAGTTTCAGTTGTCTGTTATCTGTCATTAATGAGCATTAAAGCATATTGAAGTTAAAAGTACGTCCTTTTTTATTTTTCCCCCAGCCACATGGCCTTTCTGTAGTGCTGACATCCCCAGCAGTGTTCGCTTTCACAGCACAGATACATCCTGAGAGGCACTTGGAAGCTGCAGAGATTCTAGGTAGGAATCTCTATGGATACAGCTTACACGTACAAATGGAATTCTTTCCAAAACGTCGTTTTGAGAGGAAAAAAAAATGTGTGCAAGCAATTGTTGTTTGTTGTTGTGAGAGCATTAAATTTAAAAATCAGGGTTCTGGAGTTATGTGTAATGCAAAGTTAGCTAGAATAACACTAAATTTTGATATTGAATGATGTGGTTAGAGGAGCAAGCTGGAGAAATCTTCTTGGCTAGAAAACTGGACAGCTGAAATTAACTGTAGATCTGTTACACATCAAAGGAGAGTGGCTGCAATTGGCATATCTCTTGGTGCTTTATGGAGAGTAGTTGCCATAAAATGAACAAGTGCTCAGGTGCATTTGCTGAAAAAAAGGATTTTGCCTAACAAATTCCCTGCTGTGACAATGAATTAGAACAGGGTGGTGTTTCGAATCACTCCTGCTCTTTTTCCATGGCACACAACTGTGGGTTTGGGTCTTTTCTAATGTACACCTAAGCTTGTTTGTAGGTGTTGGAATTTTTCAGTGGCTGATGTCAAAGGAAAGCATGGAGTAGCTCTCCTGTGGACACATGTGATGGCTAAGAAGTGGATTAACAAGCCAAATGACCTTTTCTGCTTCTTAACAGAATAAAAGTAAATGCTGCAGGCTGACAGCTCATTTAAAGGTTACCTTTGTATACAGCACTTTGTTATCAGTGCAACCCATCACAAAAAGGTGTCTTAGAGAAAGGATACCTCTTAATTGCACCCCCAGCATGACTGTGTGTAATAAACCAGCTTCCAGTGGTGTAATCTCAGAGCTGTTAGCAGTCTAGCTGTGGCAGCGTGGCTCTGCAGTGAGCTAATTTATTTATGTCTAAGATCAGGTGTTTGTCTGCACTAGGCTCTGTGTTGTAACTAAACTGCTGCTGATACCTATGCTGGCTAAGGAGCAGTCACAGTCAGACAGGCAACAGTGCAGAGAGTAGAGAGAAAGTAGTTAGGCCAACTGTCCTTGTATTTGGAAAATTTGTGTTCAGTCCCTTGTATGGTCAGCCTTCTGTATACAAGTCACAGCAATCAAGCCATATCTATGACTTGCTTGTATAAGTAATCTGAAAACATCCCCAAGAAAGAATGGGACTTTTATATAGACAGTGAAAATATCACAGTATTTTCAAGAGGTCGTAAAATAACATGGTCAGAAAAACTACATTCAGGGAAAATTCCATTTATTTCATAAGCGGTGTCTGTGAGGCTCTTCAGGCTTCCTCTAAAGTATGCAGTCCTGCCTGTGGTCAAACCAGAACACAAACCTGGTTGGAATCATATACTAAACTACTAAACGTCTGTGATCCTGCAGCAATATCACAGAGCTAAAATTAGACAAAGAAAATGTTTCTGGATAACTAGTCACCACAGCATATCAGAGAATTTGAACTCTGGCTCTTGATTTTAAAACAAGTGGCCAAAAAGCAGTTCCTTTACTTTTTGTGATATTAACTGCTGCTATAAATTCTGTCTCTAGAAGTTCTATTAATTTTGTCAGTAGAAATTTTAACTATGTCATTGTGTGCCTTACTGTAAAGGGACTCTGCCGAAAACGTGTCACAGGGAATTGAATTTATTACTTCCCATCTGGGGTGTTTACTTCTGATTCCAGTCCAGGGTCTAACTGACTACAGTAGCTGATTCAAATCTGTCATGTTGCCAAATGCAGTGACTAATAAGGTATTTTATGACATGAAGCAGATTACTAAATAGTTATGTTATGTGTATGTACAGCTGTGAATTTGGGTAGATCCAGAAAAATCTTAATACCTCCCTGGGTGGATTCTTAAATAGTTGAAATAGGTGTGCATGTGGTCAGAAATTTTCTTAAGTGCAATCAAAGACTGATGTATCCTTTAGGTTGAGAAAAAAGAAAGTACTAGAACTATAGCAATATTTTTAAAGTGCCAGTCACATTTACTGTCATGTTTTATCCTCCTCCTTTTGCCTTTCACTGTACTATCTGAAGATAGTGTATTTATTTATTTATTATTTATTTATGTCTCAGTTACTCCTCCATAGCAAAACCCAAGATAAACTCAGACTTCATGCCATAATCCTAATAGCACAAGAGTTGGTACAAGACTTTGTCATATCTTATTTATCAATTTCTGCCAGACATTATCTGCTATAGCACTGCCAGTCCTACTACCCGAATATCTGAGCTCTTCAAATGAGCTTGTAGGTCTTCTGTTCACTTTAACTCCCTTTGAATGTTCCACTGAACTGCGTGAGGACCACAGGAAGTGTTTTCCCTGTAGCTATTTAGTGCTCTTACTCATCTCTCAGTATGGCACTTGGACCTAACATAGTTCTGGTGTAACATCATTGAGGTTACACAGAGAAGCAGTTTAGCTTGGGTTACTTTGAAAAAGAAATCATATGGAGGAACCTGTGTCTTTTGTCTGGGCATGCTTTTATTATTACTTTTAAGTAAGTCCTGACCATTCATCGAAAAAGGGGAAGCAAGCTATTCTGTAAGAAATATTAGTAATCTTTCTTTTTATATCAATGTTTTCATTACTGTTCCATAGTTGTTTCAAAGATATCAGTTCCTCCCCTTCAGTTCTGCATTATCCTACACAAGTCTGCACATGCTCAAATTAAATTTAGGATTTACTCAGCCCCCTGAACACTTCCCTGCCATCTCCTGCCTTTTTCAGCCTACATGCTCTAGTCCTGTATGTGAATGTGTAATTGAACAGAAGAGTCCTCTAGATGTCAGCAAACTCAAGGCATTAAAATGAAGTTTGCAATTGGCACACTGTCCATAAAAATAAATACCATTGACGTTCATGCGTTAGCTTCTTTCCTCCCAGCAGTTAGTCAGTCTGAAAAGTGCTTCTCCCTGTAAGTGCAGAGGAAAAGGAAGTTAACCTCATGTGGCAGTTAGTCTTTTTGGCAGCATTTACCTGCTTCTGATCTTGTTTTATTTCACCTTTCACAAACTATTCCAACTGTAAAACGAAGGCTGATTCCTCTTTTTACTTCATGTTGCTTTTAGGGCAGTGACTGCTGTGTATGGATATGTATTCAGCTGATATTATGATTAAATTAAGTCCAGAACAGGCTTCCTCCGCTCTCTCCACCCTACAGTCAAGGCATTATGTCTTATTTTAGGAGCTGACATCCGCACTGCCAGAATCAAAGATGCAGGGTTTATTTTGGCAGACACACTCCGGAAATTCCTATTTGATCTGAATGTTGATGATGGCTTAGCTGCAATTGGTTATTCCAAAGCAGACATCCCTGCGTTAGTCAAAGGCACTCTGCCTCAGGTAAGACAGAAAGCAAAACAGTTTTTCTTGTCAAATAAAATAGAACAGATTCTGGAAAAAACAGAATTGCTTCTTTTCAAGCAAATGTTATTTCTGTTCCTGCATGAAAACAATTAACATGGAGAAAATTACGGATAGTCAACTGTGTTTTGTTTCATTCCACAGTTTAGGTTTTTCTTTTCAGATTGAGTGAATGCTGCAGTCTGCAATGGCTAAATGTTCGGGTTTTTTTTTAAATGTCACGTTTTTGAAAAAGAGGATTTTTTCATAGACCTTTGATCTTTGTAGAAGATAGTGCTTTTTTGTAACTATCTCTGTTAATTATGTATGCAGATAGGCTATAGATAAAGCCTTAATACCAAGTGCTATCTGGTAAGAATGACTGAGCTCACTTTACATTAAACTTTCCATATTGAGAAGTTGCATTTTTCTTCCCAGATGGCTTTTTTGCTCCATTGACCCCCATCAGAATTTGAAATAAGGTCCCCTGGGATGATATGGATTAAACTTGTGATACTCTTTATTATTTTAGTGCCCACAAAGACATTGCAAAAAGCAGCACACCACTCTAAAAGCAAAATCCAGTGTCTTCCTTGTAAAAAGAGAGTTTGATTCATGTGCTATGGACTCTTCTGTCCACTTAGTATTTATTTCCACCAAGTTGCAAGGGAAATAAACACTATGGAGAAAGTGAAAATTTTTTAGGCCAAAAGGTTATTCGTTTTTTACAGCAGACCTCTTACTATGTCTAGTTCTTCTCAGTCATGAATCTCAGAGCAACTTAGAGCAGTTATATTAACAGTAAATATTAGTATTCCTGGTTTATACCTGAGAAAACAACAAAAAGGTGCAACTATGTAGGATCAGACACAACAGAGTGGTGGCAAAGCCAGGGAGAAAACTAAGGTCTCTGAACACCCATCAAATAGGTTATGCATGTAAATTGTTGCGGGGCATTTGGGGGGTTTGTTTAGATTAATATGTTTCTTTAAAGCAATTAGGTTTAGGTCATCATAAGCAAAACATCTCATTGAAGACTAGTTTTGCATAGCTAGGGGAGGGGGAAGTTTCTTCTCCAAAAGATGTTGAAGGGTTTTTTTGTTTGTTTGTTAGCTTAGCTCAAATTGACTTTTAATTCATTTACTGTGGTCTCATGGCATTGATGACTGTACTGTGTAAAATGAGTTGACCTGATAGTTTCTCAACCCATATTTTTGTATATAAGATGTTACATGATGAAAATGTATTAGTGTTCCTTAATAGTCTGTTAATACCCACAGAGTTAGTCCATACAGTTTAATCTTTGGTATATTTTTTTTTCTTTTCATCTTGCAGTAGGTTTGCTTTAGAATACAGCACTGACCCATTCGTGTCAGCAAAGCAGTCTGATGCAGTTGTTATAGCACTAAAAAGTGTGCAAAGTTTATTCAATGCTGTGAAGTGCAGGCTGCAGGAAAACAAAACTAATCTGACTGTCAGAATTTAGGTGGGAACTCTGTTGGGGCAAACATCTGTGCTTGAAGTTAAAACAGAATTTATTTTCCTTCCTAAGTGAGTCTATTGAAATTGATCCTATTTGCAGACAGCAGTGATTCTAGCAGAAGATGCTCTCTTGATGTCTAAGGTGGCTGGCCCTGTGGTGGTGTTTCAGAGGAGAGGATGAGAGAAAATGAGAGAGTGGAAGGGCTGTTCTCTGGCCCACCCACCCCTGCAGACATCCCAGAGACAGCTACAATGGGGCTGAACCAGTGATGAGCCTTGAGCTACTCGGTTTTGGCACTAGACCAGAATGCACTGAGTCAGATTAAGGGAGCCAGGGCCTTGCTGTCTGGGCACCAGCAAATATCAGCAAGCTTGTGCAGAGGTAGTGCTGGTGCCTCTGTGTCGAGGCAATAAAGGAGGAGCATCCGTTTGCAGCCTTCTGTCGATATAGCTGGGAAATGCTACAGTCTGTGAGGCTGATTGTATCCTGTCTCCCGGTGTGGCTTTACAGATAACTCTGGCCATTTCAGTGCACAGAGCTGCAAAACTGTACTTTGGCCCACAGTGTCCTAATGTAAGCCTGATGAATTTATGAATATTTGAGCACTGAGTTGTTATATTTTGCATATTGTGAGTCTGAAAAAAACCAACACACTTTTACCGTAGTACTATTTGAATTTTCCATTTGGTTTCAAAACTGCATAGAAGAATCTTAAGCTTCCCTTTGGCTGAGTCTGTGTGTCTAGCAACACTGGTCAGGGATGGGGAAAGAGGTACCATTTGATTGCTACTTATGCACCAGCAAAGCTTCTCCTGTAGGTAAAATTATGCACACAAAGCTGCACTTTTCAGACTCATCACAAGCCGTGCTAACCATGATTATGAACTGTGAATGCCTCACAGCTGGCTTCCTCACCATGCTAGACCAATATTTCACATTAAGTTTGCAATGTGGTGGTACTCTTGCTGTGTAACCACATCCAGCCTGCCCACAAATCGCATCCCTGCGGGCTGAGGGGGAAGTGGAGCAGCTGCAGCATTGCATTGCGGCATCGCCCTGGGCAGGGGTGTGTGCTCCACCCAGGATGGCAGCTCAGCTCAGACTCCCACCCAGGCAGGGGGCTGGAGGAGCCCCTTCCCCAGCATTCCACTTGGTGCATGAAGCAAGGACCTTAGCAAATGACATCCACTGTCTCACATGTGAAAAAGGGGAAAGAATTTAAAGCTGGGGACAGCATCTTCCACAAGGGAGATGTTGAAACAGGTTGTAGCTATAGAAATTTCCTCTTGCCAAAATACACCACATTCATCTAAAGATACTGCATTCCTAGTAGTAAGTCTGGCTTCTGTCTTTGTAGGCATCTCTAACTCTTTCCAGTATTTCAATAAATGTTAAAATCATTGGTTGTTGGAAACAGAAGTGCTAATCATAACAAGTATGAGTACGTTAGCATTAGGCCCTTTCAGCTGAGTGTTTCTGCAGTATCCAAACACCTACACTAATACAGCTCCTCATCCTCAGTAACATGGGGCTTTTCTGAATTTCCACCCCTGCCTTTGTGGTTATTTTGTCCAGCAGAGCAGTGAAGTAAATACCTGGCTTTCATTTCTGCCAGTGGTACTTCAGCACCTACAAATTCGGTTGAATCATTACCCAAATGAAGGTCAACCACAACTACTTTGTGTTCTGATTACAAGGTGTCAGGCTGTTTATTAAGAAGTTTCATACCATATCTTGACGTGTCCCTTTATTGCAGTCTGAGTTACGAGCACTGTTTACTCTGCCCATTTACAGCAGTTCCTGGGCCTTGAGAGATGTTGGGTTTTGAAAGTCTTGGTCCCTAAAACTCGAACTCCTAGTTCCAATGCTGACAAATGAATTTTAAAAGGGACTGTGTTCCCAAGATAATATCCTCCAGCGTACTGACATCTTGACGGACAAGGCCCATGTTTGCAGTACTTGACTCTGCAACTGAATGACGTTCTAATCTTGCTTCTCTGTATTTAATTATAGGCAGTTTTAGGTAGTATGTTCTTGAAAGTCCTGTACAGTTGACGATGCCCCAACCTTAATTACTTGATTACTTATTTGCAAAACCTTGTTGTTCTCTGTAAAGGATGTATTACAGAAACACATAATTCAGCTACTGTTTGATTAATTTTATTGGCAACCTTATGTAATTTAGTTTTTCTTTAATCTTCTAGGAGAGAGTGACTAAGCTATCACCACGTCCCCAAACAGAAGAAGACTTATCAGCCCTCTTCGAGGCTTCCATGAAGCTTTATTAGCTTAAACTTGGTGTTCTGAAAAGTGTGCTCTATTCTAACACAGAGGTAATTTCTTACAGATACAGCACTGAATTTGTTTAGAGCATGGAAGAACTTGGGTATTTTTGACCTCTGTTCCATTGTACACTGCAAAAAGGTCATGCAATTCATCTTTAGCTAAACAGTACTTTGAAGTGAAGACTTGACAGTGGTTTCCTTTTTGCTCAGTAGTCAGTGGTATTGACTTGCATAAAAGTTGGAGCAGATTTCTTGTAGTAGTGAAGGCTTTCTTGTGCTTTAGAGGTAATCAAAGGTGGAAAAATGTTTTAAGGGATATTCCAAACCATTTTGCAAATTATGCTTCTATTTAAATTATCCATGATTTTGTTATGAAAAGTCATGCTAGTTACAAAATAAGTAAGATCATTATTAATTAGGGAGGGGGAGTTCCCTGCAGAAAATGTCAGCTTACAGTATTCTGTTCTGCTTATCATCATCTTACCATCCGGTTTTGCTAAGAAGGCTATTGAACTGGGGTACTTCTTTTATTGTTTGGTTCAGAAAAAAACTACACACTTCATAGTTGTTTGGAAAAGGCTTCCTGAAAATTTGTTTTGGGTTAAAATTCTCACATGTATTGTCAGATATTTATCTTTCCTTTTAAGATCTATGTGAAGTGTTCATCAGAGGAACAAAATCAGAGTAAAACACGGTCACATGCTCAACAGGAACCATATAATAGCAAGACAGCATCCATCATGGTCATTCTGTCTCTGGAGGCAAGAGCTCCTTTTTCCTGCTGTCTTCTGTGGAAGGAAGCTCTCAACTGTGTCTAACTTTGCTGTGAATCAATTGCTTCTGCTGAGCTCTTGCAGGTGCTGTCCCTCAGAGTGCAGCCACCAGCTTAAGGAAGTGGCTGTGTGCTGTGGTTCAATATTAAAAATTGGTGGTGAAGCATATGGCTGCACAGTGCCCCGTGGGGAGCACTGGTTAAATGTGGGAATGAGCCTGCACCTTCAGAGCAGTTAACCAGCTGGTTGACTGTCAACTGAGAAAGGGAAGTGGGGAAGGGAGAAATGAAACTAAAATTTTAATACTATTTTTCTTTTTTTGAAAGGTTCATGTGGCTGTGTGTACAGTTCATTTAAATCAGTTTCTGCTTCGTGTTGAACTCTTTCAGCATCTGATTCATGCAGCTACCACAGCACAAGACAAATGTGAGAAGAACCCCATAACCTCTTGTGTGCTTGTTTCTTTCTGCTGGGAAGGGAGCACTTTTCAGTCACCCTGTTGAAGTAGAAAGCTCTATACTTTCACCTCTGCATTTAGATGTTTGTCTGATCAAGCTAGTGCTCTCCTAGAATCTGAGAACAGATGTGTACTCAATATTGACACTGGATCTGTTTTAGTGCTGTTAGAATAGGTGGATGGATGCTATGGTTGAAGCCTGGTTGTTTTTAGCAACAGAACAGGTTTAGTTGCCATAGGACTGCACTGCCAGTATGCCTCAGCCTGTGCTGGGATACAAATCTGATTTCCATGTCATTCTGAATCTTTTCCTCTGCTGAAATTGCCCACAAGTACCTCTGTCATGAGGGGTGATGTAATAGCAAGAGCTTCACTTTGTTATATTGTGCGAAGCTTCCATGTTTTGGAAAAAAAACCCTTTTTGTCAAAACCTTCTGTCAAACCCTGTCGTTCAAGGTCAGGCTGGATGGGCTCTGAACAACCTGGTCTAGTGGAAGGTGTCCCTGCCCACAGCTGGGGGTTGGAACTAGATGATCTTTAAGGTCCCTTTCAACCAAAACCACTCTGTGGTTCTATATAAACTTTTGACCTGTTTTGTCTTTCCACTCCTGTCTTTCTCCAAGCTGTAGTCCTGAAGAGAGAATATTTTTGTACAGGAGCCTAAGTCATGGCAGTCATGCTGCATTTAGGGAGAATATACTTTCTGGGGAACTGAACAGCACATGATTTCATCACTTCAGCAGAGCACTTTGTTGGGCTAGTTAGGGAGGTAGGATATTTCCTTCCAGCACACTTTTTATTTGCCATTTATGCCAGTATGGCAGTTATTGGCAGGCTGCATTTCCAGCTGACAGAACCTCACACTTAACTTCCTATACCAGATAACCCAGAGCTCTTGCTAGTTTTTAAATAAAACCTCATACCCCCACTGATATCCGTATTTTGCAGATGAGACAAAGGGTTTGATGTAATACCTAACCCAACATAAGCAGATGGTGCTGTAAGAAGGGCCCTTTCTGTCTTCCACAGTCCTTTCGCAGATCAGAGTCTTCAGCTGACTTAAACTGGTTGTGAAATCTCACTCATGGATATCAGCTACACAAGTAGTGGTTTTCCCACCACCAGTTGTTAGTTACTAGTGCAAATTTGCTGAGGAAAAAATGGGGGAGCTCATGTCACCCCACAGTGCTGTCTTTCAAATAGTGGTGATGTGACAGGGAGTCACACCCTGGCTCACAGGCAATTGTAGTTTTATTCACAGCTGAAGAGTTATGTGGAGTTTTTCATGTATTATCTTACTAAATTACTCTGTACTGAAACAACCTAGTTGGTCAAATGTATCTGTATCTTTGAACATGTCGATTTTGTGCATGAGTCTGGCATTTGTATGGGGAGCTGGGGTGACACTGTAATTCTGAGTGCCCAGCAGTGATTTGGCATATGTGTGAAGTCTGGGCAGCTTGTTCTTGTGGCTCTTGTTACCACTCTGTTACTCAAGCCCTCTGTGATAGATCTCTTACTATGTTTAGATGATGCTGAAATGCAAATAACAAAAATAAACACAAGCTTGTTCAAAAGTGTTTGAGAGCAGTGTTTAACTCTGTCATGTTTAGTTCAATCCTACAAGGTAACTATGAACAAAAACTATTCAGAGGAGGAGGCTTTCACTGGCTTCATGGACCATAATGATTCCTCCTGCCTAGTCACTTGCCTCGTGAGCTTGGCACTGTGCACCCAAAAACATTGAGTGAGAACTGAGAGCAGTGGTAGAAGCATTCCAGAAGTAAAAGCCTCTGAACTGCTGCATAGTATTTCTGTGAACATTTAGGACTGCATAATCAGTACACAATACATAACTAGTACATAATCAGTTGTAAATATTATTACATATTTCATGACAACACTGTTGATCCTTCTACGTCATACTTGCTAGTAGTAGGGCTTGACTGAGTCACTCCTCTTCCTTGCAGGGTCAAAGACTTACTTCCTGCCTTAAACAGCTGTAACTATATAAAAGGATTTGTCAGTCTCTATATAAAGAAGAACAAATGTCCAGTTCATATAGACCATGGTTTTTGAATAGGTTTTAAGTAAGCATACATGTCAGCTATTCAGTCATGACAAAAGGATGGTTTGAAGAGGCTTTAGGGACTCCTTTTAGAGTGGGAGTTATCACGTTCGTGATTCTTGCTGTGGACATTCACCTGCTATTTCTTTTCCCTAGTCTTGTATTCTCTGAGTTCTGTGCAGGCAGACACAAAACAAAACCTGGCCCATCTGGTTACTCACTCAGTCCATCTACATTAATAAGATTAGCTTTGGGGAGCAAGTGTGAACGAGTGCATATGAAAATGCTGGTGAAAGTAGTTTACCAGTGGGTATATTTTCACCTGGAGTGCAAAAATGAAAAGCTCACTCCACTCCCCTCACAAGGTAGAGCTCGCAGGGTTTCTGCTTGTGATATAAAAATGAGAGCAACTGGTACAGTAGTTTGTCCATCCCCTCTTTTCCCTTGCCTCTTCCCATTCCAGTGCTGATTTTATCAGCATTTAAAGCAAAAAGACAATGAAGCAAAAAATATGTAACCAACATGCCTAAATCTCCAAAAACTCTCACCATCTTCCTGTGTGAATAAACTTGGAAGAAACTACGGGTAGGTTACATGTATGCTCATTCCTCGTCGCACCCTCCTGTGCCAAGTCTGTCATCCTCTGTCTTGTGGTTGGCTGTTCATCCCCCTGAGACCTGAAGAAATGAATGAGAAAGAGCAATGGTTAAGGGACACAGCCCAGCTCTGTCTAGGCCCTCTCCATAACCCCCGAGTAAATCTGCTTAAGTATCACAGTGCTCCAGGACACGTGCAGTGTGTCTTGGACTCAACAGCTCCTACCTAGTAAATCTGTCACTGCATTAAGTGTTGTCTGTGCAGAAGGGACAAGGGCAATCTGATGCAATGCAGCAAGAGGCCTAAAGGTAGGGTCTCCATTTTTCCTCAGACCATCCCTGTGAGCTTTCTAAAGGAAAAGGTACTTATTTTAAATCCAAACACCAGCTAGTGAATGCAGAAAATGATGCCACCATTTTCCTGATCTCTCCAGGAGCTGTAGCTCATGCAGCAGCACACAAACTGCTTGTCTGCTGCAGTGTCAGCCCTGAGCAGTGAGAAGAGGGTCTTCCACACCAACCCACCCCTGCTAATCCTTCCTCGAGACCTGGTTTAATCTTTGATGTACCACCAGGCCACCTACAGAAGAAGAAGTTTCTCTTTAAGCAGTGGTGTGGTGGGACTGTCCAGTGACTGAATTTGCAGACTCCATCTGCGCATTGGGTTGCAGTGTACATATGAGAAATCACACATGGTCAGTTTGTTACAAAATGTTTAGTGCATATTTTTATGTGTAGTGGTCCATGAAAATAAGCAGAAGCTTCTACTGCTCCTCTGAATTTCTCAGTGAAATTGAGACACAAAAAAAAAAAAAAAGCCCAAAACCTGGGCTATCATTAGGAACACTACGGTTCCCTTAGATGCAATGTTTCTGAATGCAGTTTTATATTTTACCAGTCCCAGTCTCCCATTAAATAGTCCTCTAAAATGCAATTCTGTTTCTTTTTTTCCCCATTGTACAGAAACAGCTGCCACGAGTGAGTTGGTAGAAAATGTTTACAGCCAAATAATAAGAGGAACAACCATTTGACACAGCTCAATGGAACGTTAATCAGGTTCTTAAGTTAACTGCTTTCCTAGGTGGAGGAGAGGGAGATTAAAACAAATACTTTCAGTCTCTAGTTTCTATTGAAAAATTACATGTACTCCATTTTCAGAGAACTCTAAGTACAACAAATGGCAGCAGATATTTTCCTTATTTCTCTAATATGAAATTAAAGGGGAAAAATTAATGTACATCCATGAGGTGGCACAGTTAAATGAAAGCGGAGGAAACGTGACATGTATCCTTTGAAGATAATTCACGTGGTAATTCATTTCACCCTGTAGAACCACACAGCTTGGTTCTGTGGTCAAGTACGCTGACAGCACGTGCACAACCAAAGTCAGCTGAGCAGTGACAGAATGTTGGTTGTCTGAGCTCCCATTAAATGTTCAATTTAATCTAATATGCCTGCATCATGAAATATATATATATATATATATATATATATCATAGGACCCACTGGTTTATTGATGGGGAACTTTTTCTCTGTGTTCCCTGACCTGCAGTGACTTTGACCTACTTTAACAGTGCACTTGTGCTTTTTCTGGGATACTCTGTTTAGATGTTTGACCATACAGCCCTAAATTAGCAACTTGACATTGAAATGCTGATTTACACCTGCAGTCAAATGGATAACACATGTTAAAGACTGATTGTCAGCAGCTCTAATACGTTATCGCTTCATTCTGTGGCATTGTCACTTGCCTTTATGGGATTTAAGGAAAACATTGTGTGGCATTGTTGGTATGGCTATGGACACAGCTGTAGGGGGCTGACTGTGTATGGACTTTGTCATTTATCTAAAAGCTGACATCACTTTCAAAAAACCACTGTGAAAGGTTGGATGTTTAAGTGTTGCTGTATATTTTAAGACAGCATTGGAAATAGAGAAGCTTTTTTGATTGCATAATAAAACAGTTAACATTGAATAACTTGCTCTTCTGACCTTTTCACCTTAAGAAAGATTAATGGTGGTTTAGATAAGAACTTCCCCCCCAACCCAATCAGGGGTCTGAATGTTTCAGGGATTCAGACAAAGAAAGTCATTTCACCTCTAGGTCACCAGCACAGACCTAGGGTGTCTCACTAGTGACCATTAGATGATTGCTCAGTCGTTTATGTGCAAGAGTTGGTGGTCATAATCCATTTTCCAGTGGACAGGTGCCTGCCTCATGAAAGCTGTCACTACATGCTTATCCAAGCAGCAACAAATGGGAATTAACCTGAAGAGAGCCTGAACTGCATTTGCCTTACACCACTGAAACCTTAGAGCCTCTGTAACACTTGTTTTAGTGGATCAGAGCCTCCCCAGGAAGGGTCAAAGCCGTGTCAGTGCTGTGTTGTGAGCAGTGGCACTTCGGTGTTCCCTTCCAGAGGGCTGCAGCCTCTGCTCCCACCTCTGGAGCATGTGGGTCCCGTTCAGACACACTCGCAGTGGCAGCATTTGCATTTCTGACAGTTAGGACATCCTAGAATAACACATCCCACAGCCTTCATGTAGCCATCTCCCAACGTTAGTTCTTGGTGTGGTCAAGCTGGTGTACTTCATACCTACTGGTATTTTAAATAGAAGTCCTAAAATTAGGACTTCTCCATTGGCAAAACTGAGCAGAGAGCTATTGGGCAGATTTTGATAGTAAAGTAACCATTTGTGACTTCTCGTGTCAGAAATTATAACGTCACCAACTGTAAAGCACGGTTCGGGGACCTACCCAATAGAGCCAAGCTAAAATCACCGAAGCACCAAAGGCAGCACAGGGTCGGTTGATGGGCGTTTAAAGTGTAAGTATGTCCTTCACCAGAGACATCTGCATGCACACAGCAAGCAAGGCACTGGGAAAAACTGACATGAGTGCAAACATCTGCATACAATTATTCATGGCTGAGACATTGAGCGTGAATATATAACATGGTTACATGCTAGAGAGAGAGAAAGTTGAAATGCTAGGATCCAGGAGTATACCACTTTTGGCTGACCAAGTTGAGAGGATATACGAACATCAGACTTCAGAGGGACATCTAAGATGAGAATATGCATTTTAAAAAACATCATAAAAACCTGAAGGATGAGGAATCTAAACCTATATAATTATTAAGGAGAATGTGCCATGTCTGTTGCAAAGCCCAAAAAACTTTTTCCTGTTCCCTTTTGGTTTTCTCTCACCCAGGGTTACCTCTGTACAGTACTTTCCTCATACTGGACAGAGCAACAGAGCAGATTACAAGTAAAACTGAATTAATAAAGGTAAATGCTTAAGTGTAAAGGCTAACGGGAGAGAGGAAAAGGACAAGTAAAGATCATCAGTTCTGCGAAAATCAGAGATCTCAGAGGCTGCTGCGTGACTTGTACTGACCTCCGTGTAGCTTATGAGATTGAAAATCCTCTCCTATGTATTTGCAGCATTAATTCCTCTTGTTATCTGAGGTGATCTACTTTAATCAGATTCCTACAAACAAGTTGAGTACTTACAGCAGAAGATCTTTGACACTCCTTCTTGGCAGCATCAGCAGAGAGGACAAAGACCAAACCAGCAGGGAGATCAGATAAACCGTCTCATCTCTGCAAAAACTTTTAGGATAATTGGCATCAGAGGAAGTCCCCTCCCTCCAGACTCATACCTGTATGCTCTGTGGTCATGTGATGAAATGGTTGCACAAAAGCTACCTCAAAATTCTCACATTTCAAAGACTGGTGCTCCCATGCTGTTTTAAAACCTCCTCTGTTGCAGTACCATCTCCTGTGCTACCTTGCTGCTTCACACAGGCCCGTAGCTTAAGTCTGGATCAAACAGAGATTCACAAATTTGATCCTCCTTATATGCCTTTAGTGCAGCTTCTAATTCCTATTTTCTAAGTTTCTGGAACTGGGGTTTCTGAGTGCCAATAATGATGGTCCTTGTTCTCGTGCTCATTTTCGCACAGAACTTGAGCCAGAGGAGGCAATACCACTTGATACCCTCCAAAGACTTTCATCCCCACAAAGCACATGTGTTGCACGTGGCAAAAGGAGCTTGATGGCTGTGTGAGGACATACTAGAGACATGTAAGGTGACAGTTCAAGTTGCCTTATTATTTAGACTTATCCATTGGAGAAATCCTAAGTATTCTGTGCCTGGTTAGCCAAGCAGTGGATTTTACTGCATATGGTGTGAGACACAGTATGCAGTTAGAGCAGGAGGGCTACCACTGCATAAATCCAGGAACCACAGGACAAGCTTTTATTAACATGCTTGTTTGCCCAAAAATGGTTATGTTCATAGCAGGAGCCAATAGTCAAAATAATCTTTAAATATTCTAAAGAAAAAAAACCATACAAAAATCCCTGTACTTTATCAGCAGAATAAAGACATCACTGATCAATTAGCCTGAAAAATTAATAAATCAAGGACAAATGTAATAAAGTTTAGCGTTTTAATCAGCTATTGTTGTCACAGCCCAGTTTGGACATATCGCTCCTTTGTTGACATTTTTAATGCTTTCTGTGGATTACCAGTACATGACCAGTATATGAAAGCTTGTTAAGCCTCCACGTGCTCAGCCTAGCCCTAGCTTTAATACTGGCTTAGTGCAATCCCTTCTGCTGGCACAAGCTCTGCGGGACTTGAACCTTGCAGTCCTGGGCATTGTGTTTCTGGATAATCATCATGTGGACTTACTCAAGTGTGTTTTACAAGCTTAGGGCAAATTTGTGAATGCCCAATTATCTATATGTAACTTTTTTAAGAGAAGCCAACCAGACTTGTGGTTTTTTTCTTTTGTCAGGATCCTGCAATATCTTCCTGTAACTAGTGGGGGGATGCTTTCAGCCTGGCTTCCATGTCTAGTTGGTATTTTCTTTCCTGACCAGCAGAGAAGTCTGTGCATTAGTCCTTTCAAACTGAAGAGCTCTTGCACCTCTCTCACCTGGTCCCCTGTAGTGAATTTAAAGTTCAAAATATTTCTTAAACGTCTCAACCTTATTCCCATTCAGGAAAAATCTGTTACAACAACTTCTAGCCAGATGCAAATTCAAATGTTACTTTTGAAAATTCTTCACTTATTCACAGATCTTTCAGTCATGCAGTGCTACTTCAATTTTGAACTAGATTTTCAGTCTACTACAAGTGGGAGGTGAAATTATTGATAGTGTATCTGTCTCTCTATTCCTTTCATTTAGAGAAAAATAATGGATTATGTATGAGAAGCTCACTTTCTATTTTGCTTTTTTTTGTTGTTTGTTTTCCTTTTCAGTCATTTGCAGTTGCAATTCTGTGGCCCTAAAATGAAATGAAGCAGTTTTCCTTTCACAAAAAGGGGTGCTGACACTGCATTACGTGGAAGTGTTTTAGAGTAGATGCCTGCAGCATGCATGTGCAGTTTTATCCCATCTTATTTTTAAATGGTTATCTGTGCATCACTCTGGTTCACAATCCCATTCCAAAAATATCTGAGGTTTATCCTTATCATATTCCCCAGCTAACAGTAAGAAATAGGCTCAAGGGGCTCAGTACAGATTAGATTTGCCTCTTATACAACGAGGTACAAGATCCAGGTAGAAGCCGGAGACCTGCCTTGGGGACAGCTCTGTCCAGGGAATCCCTTGGCAATATTCCTTGCCTATACTGAGAGTACCAGGATGCTTCCCACTAACTTCATGGGAAAAATGCTGTGTTGAAAAGGGATTAATTTGTTCACAGAGGCCAGGATAAATAAGGTCTAGAGGTTTCTGACACTTATCTTAAATCACTCAAAATTCTAATTACAGTTTTTGTAACCATATTTGACTTTTTTATTCGATTACTTTTAACAGCTCTGACATACTTGGTAAACAGGACAAGCATCTACACTTGTTTCTTCCAAATGTATCTGAACAGATTCAGCCCTTGGGAAAAGCACCCTTGCCACCTCCCCAGAGGGACATTTCACCAGTTTATGGGATTTTCTGCAATGTTTACCAGGGTCACTGAGCCTCCTGCTGTTTTCAACAGTTGTTTTTCTCTCAGCCTCAGCAAACTTCTCTTCTCCTCCACCTTTGCTTCCTTCCTACCCACATTCCCAAGAATCAAATACCTTCCCTGTCCCAGACTTGCAGATAAGGTTAGATGGGTGTTTTGGCAGACGCCATATGTCTGTTCTTGTGTCCTGAGTTCTCCTCCTCCTCCTCTTCCTCAGTTGTCCTTGTTCACCTTTGGTCACCCTGTTCTTGCACCAGCAAACATTTTGATCCTTTGCTGTCAACACTGAGAGTTCAGCTATTTGGTAAACTGCTATATCAGCAAGGAATTTGAATTCCACATGTTTGCTTGGGAGTCTTCAGTCAAAGATATACCCTCATGCCAAAACTTCTTTGGGTCTTCTCATGGCTGCAGGGGCACCATGTGAATTAAGTTAATAGCTTATTAATTGTCTTTAGCAGTGAGGAAAAAAATTGAGCCTGGTCTCTAGATGTTTTATGTAGTTTGGGGAACAAAACAATGATTCATGGAGACAAAAATTGTTTGGTTTCCTGCTCCCACCACAGACTGGACTCTTGTTAGGTCAGTAGGGAGCCAAAGGGAGACACTATATGAAATTGTCTGATGTGGCTCTGCAAACATGTCCTAGGTTGGACATTGTGGAGAGTTATCTCCCTCAAGTTTAAGATTACTGCCTGCTGTTGTTCAGCAGGTAGCATGAAGTCGAGCTTTGTAGTACACTTCCTTGTCAGGTGTTATTACACCCATTTTATAGCTAAACCAGGACATTTGCCCAAAATATTTCACAGATAGGTGGAAAAAACATAGCCCAATATGTGCAGTCATTTTCTTGAAGCCACATTAAGATTTCTTGCAAAACCCTGGGCGTTCATAGTGCTCGACTATGCTGTAAGATCTGGACAAAATAAGGCAGCAAACTCCCTTTCATGACCAGAGGAAAATTCATTCCCAAATGAGGATCCCTGATGAGAAGTGCTATATTTGCCCTCCTAAAGCCTGATTTTCAGCTTGGAAGTGAGGTGAGAGCCTTTTATCAGGTCCTTGTACAGAGTGACTCATCCCCAGAGCATCCTGTGCCTGTAAAGATGTGTTCAAAGCCTACTTGCCCTGTAACACAGTGAATGCCAACTAGTAACAACCTCTTGAGTCTCACTTCAGTGTCCACATTCCCACCACCCCTTGACAGCACAAAGCACCCAATACTTGTTCTAAAGTTAAACCTCATCTATTATGTGAAAATATCTCTAGGTCATTCCTAGAACTAGGAAACCAATGACTTGGATCCAAAAGTACCCCTCTTCTCATAAGACTATGAATATCTTGAAGGTGAAATAAAGGGTGGGTTAGATTTGTTATAGCCTTTTTTTTTTTTAATCGACTATTCAGTGTTGGTCTTCATTATTTTTTTTTATTCTTTTGAAAGCTTTAGAGCCTCCTGCATAACCGCGTCTGCCCCATTCACTGCTGAATGGATGGTGCGCTGATCTTTTTCTCGGTGGGTAATGGATTTGGTTTGATTGCTTGACACAGGAACAATAGGGGGGTAAACAATTGCCTTCGCACCCGTGCAGCTCCCCATCTGTTGAGTGTGTGTGCCTTCAGAGGCAGCCGGGCAGGGACAGATGAACGTGCCAGCCAAGCCTGATGTTAATGACATCAGTCATACAAGCAGAACATGTGGCGCAATAAATCAAAAACTAATTGAACTTTTGGTTGATTATATTGCTGTCCCACCGCCCACTTCAAGCACGGCACGGTTTCTGAGACAATGCCTCCAACACCACAATGGCTTTGCTACCGCTGGACAGCAGGAGCCTGCCCTGGGAGGTGACAAGAGATAACAGCTTCTCTTCACTCATTGCTTTCCTGAAACAGTGACACCTTCCACTCAACCAAAATGCTTCCAGGCTCAGGATGTGTATTTGACCGGTATCTATTATTTCAAATAAGAAATGTTCATCAATATGACAATGACAGCCCATGTTCACTGACACTTTCCGTCTGGGACTGTTGGTGGCAGACCTCTATTATAGGAGAAGACAGCTCTTGTTTTTGTGTTAATTAGACACACACGTGGTAGTAATGGAGGCTATTCATTAGACTGATATAATTTAATATCATAATTGACACTTGAAAGTGTTCCTACTACATCAGTTGCTGGGGCCTGCAAGCCAAAATTTTCTGTCTTAGGTGTCCGTGGCAGCAGTAAGTCACCAGAAGTTGAGGGGGCTGATATTCAGAGGTGGAAAAGAACAATTTCTGATAGGAGCATTAAGGAATGAAAAGCTTTGGCAAGAAGACCCTTTACTGAAGTGCATAAATATGGGATTAGGCCCCAGAACCATCAAGTCATGTAGGAACCCATCTATGACTGAACCACCTGCCCTCCCTCTGCAACCACGGAAGTGTAGGGGGCATAGAGACCTATGCACATCTGCCCAATGTGCCCTTTCTTAGTCATCTGCATTTGAAATTTTCCTTTGAAATGCCCAGGATTCTGGTACTTTTTCATGAAATTAAAAGGTAAAGCACAAAACGCTTTTCTTAATGCCCTTAGAATCAACTCCTCATTATATGGAAGAAGCAAATTTTTATGCTAAATGTGTTAAAGTACACACTTAACCCAATTTTTTTTAAAAAATCCTTGTAGTACTTCTGTTAACATTTGTTTGCCTATAGATTAGACTTTAATTATTAGCTATTTGTTGCAGAGGATTCTCCACACGGGTAAAATGAGACATTAAATAAAATGCTCCTGAGTAGAGGCTTAAGTAACAGCTAAATTAAATCTTTGTGTTAATATTATTCATAGAAAGCCAGATGGGAGCAGAAAATGTTGCAATGAAGAATATGGAATGAGATGAGATCACAGCATCAGTCTGTCCTTTGTAGATCTGGACAATGATCACAGAGCCAGATTGGATTAGTGAAACCTATTTACCAGAAGTTCAGAGCGGTTGCATGAAGCTGAAAGGCAGTCAGTAGGGAGACGTGGAAAATGCACCAGATTTACAGCTGCAGCGACGAGAATTTAGAAGTTTTCACCACTGTGATTTCATCCAAATGTGAGTACATCAAAATGTAACAACCGCTACGGTGTTGTCTTTTGGAGGGATGGTATGTTTAGCAATGGGGAAATCTTTGAAATGAGCAGCTCCTCTGCTCTGCCGTGCCCTGCTCTGCCTGCAGCCCAGCACTCGCTGCCGCTTTCACGAGCTAATCCGTGCAGGTGCTTCGACATTCTGGCTGTGTAAAATCTTTGCACTGACAAAATTGGGAGATCTGAAATCGGTGTTGCTATACCTATGAGGTAACTGCTAAAGTGACAGCTTGCAACTGTGTGGCTATTCTGCGTAATAGAAAAGAGAATGAAGTTCTGTGAGCAGTTAGCAGCTCAGATGAAGTGGGGGAACTGCATGAATGTTGAATTTAAGTCTGCTGGCTCAATAAGTGGACCATTTCCAAAGCCATGCCCTGGAAATGAATGCATGATTAACATTAATTGCTTCTAATGAAGAGTAAGAACCGGACAAAGCCCAGCCTGCATTTGATTGAACAAATTAGTTTAAACTCAATGGCTGCATATTTCAGCAACAAGAAAGCAGGGGAAAGCAGGGAAAACAAATTCTGGGACCAGATCAGATCTTTACTTGCAAGCTGCGAGCATGAGCTCTCAGCTGCTTAATTTTGCAATATAAGTGGAAATGACAAAGTGAAACATCACTGTAATTGTATTTGTTGCCCAAAAGCTGAGCTGTACATACAAACATTCTTTTGCAGGCAAATCCAGATACATCATCTGCAGGGGTTAATTCTTCCCTTCCTTCTCTCCCACTCTCTGCATAGATTCGTGTTTGCAGGGACAGCCCCGCAGCCCCACTGTTTGCACTGCTGCCATTGTGTTCCCCCACAAGTGGGTCACTTCTGGCTACCTCTGTGATTCACTCTTCTTTCAATGGCTATTCAAGTAACTGCATGTTTGCTGGTGCTGTGACTTCCCTTTCATGCCTTGCCTTTCTTCAGCCCCTGCAAGCCTTTTGCCACTTGTTCTGGCGGATGATAGGCAGTAAGTTTGACTGTGGATCCTATGTACTCTGAAAATATGCAAATTTATTACTGTTAGGCACATTTATGTGTTCTTCCTTGTGCACCAGCCTGGGTAGCTATAACAGCACAACAGCACTTGCTTCTGGTAGAAATCTCTGTGAATTGTGCTCCTCACACTGTCTGGTAAAATACATAAAATACCAGAGAGACAAGAAGATAATTACTTGCATCGCTAAACTTTTTTGCACTTGAGTGTTTCATTTGTGAGCAATTAGTTTAGTCCTCACACAATGAAATTCCAGAATTAAAGGTGATTGAAGCAGCTTCAAAAACAACTTACAAGATATTGCCAGGGAAGAAAAAAAAATCAAGCTATCTTTATTATGTTTGTCTAGCTTTCATCCCACACTCCTGTGGTTTAAAATATAAAATGTGTCCTGCAGGAGAAGACAGTAAGGATCCCTGAGGATATCATGCCATGCAAAACAGACTAATTGAACTGACAGCACACTCTTAAGCTCTAAACAGGCAGATAACTTACTTGTGATGAGTTCAGTGTGGAAGTGCCCTGTGCTGCAGTGAACCACTCTCAGGGACCCTGGGCAAGACTGTTCACCTCCCATGTTCCTGTCATGTTTCACTATCGGCAGAGCACAGGCCAAAACTTTTTCTCCAGTGTGGTCCTAATGCTCAGTACTTATACCCTCACTGGGGTATGGAGAGGTGGCTGTTAGACATACTCAAACTGTCTAGGAGGAGTGACTTTGGTCTCACTGCCAGCTCTGCTTGTACTGGAGCCCTGGAAAGCCCAGTCACTTGTTATTCCTGCCATCTGAGGAGAGCAGTTTGGCTGCAGTAACCAGCAGCCTTCAATGACCTCCAGCTGCTTCCACAGCTTCAAAACTCTGGAAACAGTAATACATAGCAGCGACAAGCACTGTAACTCCTGGAGTTAAATGTATGCCAATGTAAAGGAAAGCTCACCTGGGGAGCAGGAGTCACCCGTCATCCCATAACAAACCTTCCTGGCTCTTCAAAGCCTTTGGATTATACATGGAGCCTGAATAGGAAACCTCCATTCACATGCCTTGCCCCAAGGCTCAGCCTTTAGAACTGGAGTTAATTCTCCACATTTGGCAGGTTTTTGCAAGTCTGTTCCTGTCACTGGCTGCTAAATCCTGTAGCTCCTGTAGCCTGAAAACAGGTGAGGGTAATATATGATGAGAGGGAGAGCTGGAAGTATCGCAGAGCCTTTCAGGCCAGTTTCAATTCTAACTCAAACAACAAGTGTTTAAATAATCTTCACTTTGTCCAATAAAACCTTCACCCAAAACCACTCACTTCAGTCCAGCCAAAAACTTGGCTTATGGACCTGGTATTTTGTGTGTCTATTGCCTAGTGGTTCTATGATTTTGGTGTTTTCATGGGCCTAAGAAATAAAAAAGAAAAACAGACTTTAAGCAAAATGCCCCAAGTTAAAGAACTAAATGGGTCATTTTGAGGATTGAAAAAGAAAATATTAGGCTTAGTGTAAATGTTATGCTTTGGAACTCATGCAGTAAAAGTGAAATTATGTCCTGAGGGAGTTTGAGCTTATTGATAAAATCCCTAACTAGATAAAATTATAGAACTCTCCAAGATAACGTTTAGACTAGTCATTTCCTTCTGAAATATTGGCAGGTGGGATGTCAGATCAAAACTGAGGAAAGAGAAGGGTTCCTCCTGGAAGCCTATGGAAGAGTTGCAGAAACTTGGGATAGGCTGTTGCCCTGAGCCCATGGATGTCTGTATTGTGTAGTAGAGCATGATCTCTGAGACAGCATTAAAAAGGAGTTTTTTGGGAGTTATTTCAGCTGAAATCTTCCTTAAAGGCAGGTGTCCACCTCCACTACAGGCTGACCATGTTCCTGTTCTTCTTTTTGCAGCATGTAGTCCTGCCCGAAGACGAGCCAAAACTACGCAACACATCCTAACAAAGAACGTAAGAAAAGTCTCCTTTTCTCTCTCTCTTTTTTTTTATTTTTTTTTTTTAGTTCTAGTTGACTACACTTATCCTAAAATATGCTGTGGATAAATGGGAAGCAGATCTTTCAGGGAAAAGAAGTGCATCGGTGTCTGATGTAGAGAGTGGGGTGGGAAACAGAAATGAGAGTTTCTGTAAAGCTGCAGTTTATTTACAGAAGTGTTTTGAAACAAACAATAAAATAAATGTGGTCTTGCTGTGCACAGTCAAAAGGAACATAGCAGCTTATCAACATGGACCATCTGAGGGAATCACAGACTTAATTCTTATCATAAAGCCTTAATGATAGTGCCAGGGGGACAGGCAAGAATCAAAAGTAAACAAATCATAGCAATACGTGTTAATCAAGGAGCCAGTATCCCAGGGAATTTGGGAGAAAAACACCAAGCAATGGACTGTAATCTCAACCCAAAGGGATGACTCTGATAGAGCCACTGGAGGATGCTTGTCCCTTGGCCCCAGCAGTGTTTGCCTGCCCTTGACTCACCCGCAGTGTACCGGCACAGAGGGCACACATGGAGCTTTACCCACTCCCTGTAGGTGAGGTACCCCCCAAATTAAACATTTTTCATTCTCTGAGAAAATGTTTTCCAAGTTCCAGTGCTTTGGCACATGGTGTGAGCTTTCTTGCCTTCAGAGCTAGTTTTTCCTCCTTAAATCCACTTGACCCATTCACAATTCCTTTCACAATCCTTTTAGCTGATTTGCTTCTCTTCTGCATATCCAAGCACTTTTTACAGGGTTTGAGACTCTTCTGCCACAGCATTTCTTCTCACCACAGACCTGTCTCCTCTCTAGCACTTTGTCGAAATATTTTGCTTCTTGGCCTTTCTTTTCTCCATGCTCTATCCTACTACACAGCCCCATCCTCAATTGTAGAGAGCCTCTTCTTTGCATTCCTGATTCCCTGATCTCCCAACAGAACTGTAGGTCCTCCTGCTTACCGCACTCAGTCCCGTTCCCTCTTTTGGTTACTAAAGCACATCACAGGATCCCAGAATGTCACAGGAGGCCTGAATTGGTTCCCAGGCTGAGTCAATAACATGCCTGTCAATATATATGTGTATTTTTACAAATGGTAAAAAGTCTTATTTTTGTCCTGTAACTCAGGCTCAGGTTTCAAAATGACTCTTCAAATGTGGATGAAAGTCAGAGTGCTGGAGTGTTACTCGAACTAAGCCATTCTGAGATACCCCATTTTTATTTCCTCACGCCTTTTATTTCCATTATGCCTTTGATATCTTTTGTTTTCCATGCAATATAAAAACAGAAGAAAAGTCCAAACTAAAAGTAAACTATTCTCACTTGGTGAAACAGTATGCTCAGATAACTTATCTCTTTTTGGTTTTTGACAAAATTTCTCATAAAAATGTTTAGCTGAAAACTTTCAGCTAAGCTTTCATTGAAATCAAGGGCAACTCTATGTCTGCTATGATGTTCCAAATCTCAGCAGATAGTTGTTGTTGTTTCTACTAAATGGAAGCATCTAATATTTAATTTGGATTGGATCAGCTACTGTGGCAGCACTATACTCATAAAAGCCTAAGAAAATAAGATAAGAAAGTCCCTGTTTTGTTGCTGTATTTTAAGAGGATTGGTTTTCTCCTTTGGGGCTTTCCTGACCCCAGTTAAGGATGTCCTTTGATTGGCTCTTAGTCATGATGCAGGCAGCATCATATTAGCAGTGGAGCACCAAGCCCGAGGAATGGTCTGCAGCTCCAGCAAAGAAAACAAGGATGGCTCTCAAACCAAAGGAATTGGCACAGTCAACTCTTAGACTTGTGCATTCCCCTTCATCAGTGGGATGCAGCTGCTTACAGCTCATACACAAGCATTCAAATAAATTGCATGTACTGGAATAGACATGCCTGTGAGGAAGTTGTGATTGCCAATTTCTAGACCCACAGAAAAGTAGCAGAATGATTATTTATTTTTCACTTTTACATCTGCACCTGTAGTCAGTGCCGTAGAAATGCCTCAGCTAACATGAAATCTCCTGCTCTGGCGATTGCAGTGGATGCACAGCTTTAATCCTCAGCAAGACAAAAATAGCAACCAATGTGGACATCTGCAAGACCTTTTTTTTCACAGCAGAAATATTCAAGCAGTGTAACAGTAAGTGATTTAACATTCAAATGACTTTACTTTTGGAGGCGTAACTTCCATCACATTCAAGAACCCATCCCAAATGCACAATCGTGACTGTGGAAGGGTGAACGAAAGGGGGAAACACCTTCTCTTTTTCAGCTGAGTGTTTAAAGAACATCTTTATTTGCAGTTCCTGTTGCCCTATTAAGAGATATTTCCAATGACAGTAGATCCTTCACTTCTCTTCCCTTGCTCTTCTAGCCCCAAAATCCCTTGGGTAGAACTGTCTGGACACTAGTACCTGGCTACTTTGCATGAAAGTGGTAAATCCCTCTGTGGATGCTAGAGCTGCCGCATTAAAAATTAGCTCAGTATTAGATCATCAAAAAGATCTTAAGTCTACAAATCTAGCATTTGCTCCACTAACAGGCACTTGGTTGTTCAGCCTCTAACCTTCAAAGTTTTATCCACTTGGTTTGGTGGTGGGATTTTGGGTCTAGCATCAGGGTGGCTGGAACAGCATCTGTGCTGCTCTGCAACCCTCCTGTGTCTTTCATACCCCTTCCCCCTTAGCACAGCTAATTCCAACAGTGGGTATGCAGGCCTCCGTGCTGTCATGTGCACAGCAAAGTCCATAAAAAGACACTTTGCTGAGCTCTGAATTCAGAGGCAATGTCCTGCAAACAGACTGAGCCAGTCAAGGGACTTACAGGTTCTAAAAACAGTAGATTTTTAGAGAGCAACTTGCTAATTTTGCACAGTCTGGCTGACTCTGCCATTCACAGATTAAATCACACAGATTTAAATCTCCTGGTATGTCTAGAAAAGAAAAGTGACTCCCAGCTGATCCTTCTGCCTTACCCTAGGTACCCTAGAGAAATGTCAGCTCCACTTTAGATCAAAACCGCAGTGCAGCAGGTTTAGTTTCCTGACCTAGATAAGTCTTAACATATTACAGCAATGGGTGAGGTAGCCAAAGTCACAGTGAAATCTTGAATTAGGAGATAAGGAACTCCCAAAGTGTGCTACAGCCAAACACTGCAAAGACGTTCACTATAGACGTTGGCATTACTGATATCACAGGTAACGAGGAATCTTGCAAACAATAACCATGTGCCTAAATAATTCCTGCTATTAATCAAGTTAAAAATCCTACTTCCTTTCCCCAAACCATATTTCATTCTTCGCAACACGTAGGCAGAATGTTACGTTTCAAGTCCATGATGGTTTACACTGATCGAACAAGCCACTTTCAGGATTAGAATTAGCTGCAGCCAGCATCCTACTTACCAAAAATGCTCTTTCCATGACAATGCAAAATAAGTGACCTCAGGTGTCTCAGTAGAAGAGAGTTGATGATATTTTCTGTCACACACCAATGAAGTCTGAGTTTGACCAAGAGCACTGGGCGTATTTCCAGAGATGATGGGAAGAGCTAAGCCTTGTGGAATTCCTTGAAAGCTTGCTTCACATGAGGCAGGTTCCAAGGGCTGTCATAAGAGACCCCTGCCAGCCACAGTCTCATCATATTTGTACTGAAGACAGGTCTCTCCACTGATGTCATTGTGGTGAAAGGGTGATGCCTCTGATAAGCAGCCTGCAAGGTTCAGGTGGTCAGGGCATGTGTGGACACAGGAGCCTGCAGCCTGTGAGGAGCTGCTGCAGAGGGATGGGGAGGTGCTGGAACTGGTCCAGGGGCAGCTGGGAGAGAGCCAATGCCAACAGCTTCAGCAGCAACAGGAGGCCTCTCACAATCAGTATCACCCTTGTTTCTGAGTTATCGGAGTAATGCTGAGGCTCAACTCTGTTCAACAGCACCAGATTCATGGTCAGTAGAGCTGGGAACCAGCCGCAGCTGCCCTTAGTGTGTGCTTATCTTCAGACACCAAGTAGTCCCTTTGACTTTAACTTACCACTGGGCATGTCCTTATGTAGCTTACAGTGAGGACTGTGTTTGGCTGTGTGTCAAAGTCCACAGAATTAGGAGAAAACCCCTCTTAGACCTTGGATTAGGCTTTGGTTGCCTTACCAGCCTTTTCCAGCAGTATTTCTGCCTACTGTTGGGCAGTTTCTGCTCCTCTTCCTGCTGGTCAGTAGGATTTAGGCCATGTAGCCTCCTCCAGACTCCTGAGGATACATGGAGACAAAAGAGTTAAAAGTGGTCAGGTTGGGGTTTTTCTTCTTTCCTGTTTTGCAAAGCATTGGTTTGTATACATTTTTGTGTCTGTGTAAAAAATCACATGCTCTAGAATATTGCAGATTAATGGCAAACTGAATTAAAACTTAATTAGAGGAAATGGACAATTTGGCATGAGGGGCCATGCTTAAATCCAGTCTTGCTTTTATCATGAGTGTATGTTAGAAGGCAATAGATAAAATTAAGGTTTTTTCTATGCCAATAGTGGGCTGGTCAGTTGTTGGTCTCAGTCCTGAAACAAAATAACTGTATTTATATCTAAAACATGAAGATGGCAACTATCAGTCAGTCATCCGTTAGATGCAAGTAACTGCTTTACTCCTGGTCTTCCAGTGTAGGATCAACATAAGTAAGTCTAATAGGAAACACTCTGAATAGTTGCCATGTATCTTATTTCCTTGAAGATTTGGATCTTCACCCTGTTTAAGTGGTTCTCTGTATGACAGTAGTAAGTCTTCAGGGAAGAAGAATAAAAAAAACATAAAACCACAACAAAGTATGAAACACTCTTTTCTTGCTATTGGAACTTTAATCTTCTTGAGAAAACTGTTCCCGGAGCATCCTGGATAACAGTCCTGATGGATCCACTTGTTTGGAGTGTATCCCTGTTTTTTTAAACTGACATTAGCTTTGTCTCACCCAGTTGCTTGTGGCAGCACAGTGAGTGACATGGCTTAGTTGTGATTGATGTAGAACTTGATTTTGTTCACACTCGTTTTCAAGATACAGGGGACCTGATCTTCAAAGATGCAGCTCTCAGTGAATTTTGTTTGTGGGAGCTAATGTTTATGAAAATTAATCTCTAGAAGCACAATTATTCACTGCCTCGTATCCTCATGTAGCCATTTGCCAGGTACAAAATGTAAATAAGTCCAAAAGACAGGGGAGACCATGAGGAAATAGCAATTGTAATTCTCACTGTGTAAGTTTGATCGATTGCCCAAGATGTGACACAATAAAAAATTAAATTTGAGCTGTCTAATAGGCATATCCTACTCAGTGGAGCTTGAAAAAGACCATATTTCAGTCTCCTGAGGAGAATACAGAAAGGTGTAAATAAGTAGCTGGGTCCCAGAGAGACCCCACAGGATTTTCCCATATTTTTATATGTCTTATGCACAGAGGCTAGAGCCAAACAAAACAAATCCCACAAATCCCAGAGCCCCCACCTGACAAAATCCGCTTTGGATGACAGTAAAGCAGTGGGAAGAGCAAACAGCCTTTCAGCTTCCCCGTGACCTCAACAGACCACCTAATGCCCAAAGCCAGGTGTAACGGGATGGTTTTGTCTCCTCCCTGCAGGTGGTGGCCATCTCCGACCGCCGGCCCCACCAGGGTGACCTGCTGCAGGTGCTGTACAGCGAGGACGAGGCGCGGGGCCGGGGGGGGCAGAGGGGGCCCCGCCCCACCAAGGGCACAACCCAGCATGGTAAGTCCACAGAAGGGGCTTTTTTCCTCCGCAGCTTTAGGACATTTTTAGATATTGCAGCCTTCCAGTTTGCAGCGGAGCGGGCGCTTTATTATGTACCTGGAGTATAATTCCATGCTTAAAATATCTAGTGGAATTAATGAGATAATGACTGTGGCATTGCTCAATTTATTTGGAGTCATAAACTCACTTTATTCAGTCATAAACACTCCTTGACAATATTTTAGAATGATAAATTGTGAATTACTGCGTTTGCCTGAGTCATCTTATTATATAAGATCCCTGTTCAGTTGCTTAGAACTTGCCAGAACATAATAATTTGAGATGAAATTTCAGATTCAGGATGTCAGCCACAGACCTGAATTTTTTTCAACTAAAACTTCTTCAGCATATTTGTGAGAACTCGTGAAGGAAAAATAGAGCTTGCCAATACAAAACCAAGGAGATGAGTAAACATAAATAGAGTGGTCATTCAGCTCCTTCAACACTGGTGTGTTATGTTTGGAGGATCAAAGCTGGAGCAGGGCTGTGCAGTTTGGCAAGGGATGGCCTTTTAATCAAAACCATGTGTTTTGCTCTTTTTTGGAAAACCACCCAGTTGCAGTCAAGTCATAAGCCTTTAAAAAAATCCCATATGGCATGTATTTGGTAGACAAAATGGGAATCTGGCTGTTAAAACGTGCTAAATTAGTAAAGCAGGTGCATGAAGGTGCATATTCCTCACATCAGCGGTCTGCAACTGCATTGCACATAAGCCATCCCATCAGGAACACAGACCAGACAGGAGCGGGGCCTGGAAAACTGGGAAGGAAGAAACCGAGCTTGGGACCATAGGGAAAGATCTCAAACAAGGACCAGAGCCAAGATGTATCTGAACAAAGAACTGGAGCCTCAGGGCTGGAGCGGGGAGAGGAGGAGGAGTGGCTGGGACTGGCTGCAGGGTAAAGGGTGGCAGAGAGCCAGAGAGGGAGAAAGGAGGGCCTTCTGGTCTCTGCTGTTAGGGGAGATGAGTAAAGGATGACAGAGAGGTGCAAAAAAGAGAAAAGCTGTAGGAATCCAAAAAGAAGAACAGAAAAGGGGGAAACAGGTCTCATAGTAGGAGAAAGGGAAGTGAGTGGGCAGAACTTAGAAACTAGGTTTAAATTAGAACAAAAAACATAAAAGAGCACCAATGAGGCCATCAGCATGTTTACTGGTAGCATCAGAAATCTCACACAAATAACCAAGCATAAGGACAGTCCATTTCAGTGTGCAGGAAGGCACTTCTGGAAGTGGAATTCACAATACACCCAGCCACTACTGTCCTGAGGGGAGCACCTACAAACCTGAAGCCATGAGGCCTTACTTTTGTTCAGATACTTTGCTAAAAGTTTGCCAGAACATTTTCTGTATCTAGTAAGAAGAGGAACAGGCTGAAGGGAAGAATCAGACAATATAAGAGCAAACAAAACCAAATAAAAAGAAAAAATATGGACATTAGCTGAAGTACTGATGCCTAGAGCTACTTACTGAATACTGTTAGTACCTAATATGCAAGATGAGAGGAGGTAATTTCATTAACTTTGACGTGAGGGATACAGTAAGGTACCTAATGGAATTACTAGAGGGGGGTGGAGCGGGAAGCAAGAAGCTGGTTAAGATGTTTGTCATGCTCAAATATTGCCCCCAGAAAGGACAGTTCTGATTGCTAAGTCATGCTGGAGACAGCACTATAAGAAGCACCTTGACTATTTCCAAATTTGCTTTCGTTATTTGTATTCCGTTGGTCACAGCGGTAGAAATGTCCACATTCCCCCAGCCAAGTGGGAGGATTTGGCTCCATGAAAAAAATCTGGCATCCCTCAGTCATTTATTTCCTTGGCACAGCTAGCAGGAATGTCAGTGAGCATTTATCCATGGATAAGTTACTGGCTGAGCACTCACTTGAAACTGAAGGGTAACCTCCAGAGTTGAGGACAGCAGAGAGGTGTCACTCAGCTGCGAGCAGACAGAAATGTTAAATCCCTCCCTGTGATGAGGTGGACATAACACACATCTCTGCCCAGGTTAAAATAACTCCCCAGAGCAATGCAGAAACGAGAGAATTATCTCCTAGGCAGGACAGACCTGCAATGGGTGCTCCAGGATGCACAAAAACTGGATTACCCAACCTCTGCTGGGGAGCAGCAGATGGGACCACTCCTTGCATGTAGAGACATGTGAGTGTTCCCGGAGGGGAATGGCTCCCACTTAGCTTGGTCTGCTAAGGACAGTTCACCATCTCATTTGAAAAGTCTAGGAGCAAGCAGTTGAGAGACTTTTCGGAATGACTTAAGTAATTCCACAGTCACTTATTTTGACATCACAGTAGATGGTCATAGTAAAGAAAACTGTGCTTTTGCTATAATCAAAGCTAGTGGAATTATAATCTGTATCTGGGCTCTGTCCGTATCTGAGTTTATACTGCATGAAAAGAGGCTTTTCATACAAGATATGCCAAAGGGATAATTACAGATAATGCCATGTCTCTTATGCTTTGCAGTGGGAATTAATGAACGAGAGTCATCCAAGTCCTATAATCACCTGCTGGATGGAAAGTCTTTGGTAAGTAAATACAGCAAGACCAACTACCATTGTCTGATGCATCTTAAAGCATTGTACCTTTCGGTTTGTCCCACAGTAACAGCATGACAGTCTGTCACAGTACATGAGGATTTCACATGAGGATTTTGTTAAAGCTTTGAGACGTAATTTTGCCATAGGATCCTTAGCTGGAAGCAGAGACTGGCTCAGGACAACTACCCCTCAGGGGACCAGGAAGGGTGTTGGGACAGCAGGAGACAGGCTCCTGTTCTGAATGCTCAGCAACTGGCAAGAGCTGGGAGGAATTAGCCTCTTGTTTCTCAGGGAATTTCACAAATCAGGAAAAAACTAATTTCTAAAGTGCAACAGGCATCAAATAATTTGCATTCTCCAGAATGCCAGCTTGACATGATAATCACGTAAGTCAGAAATGTCAAAAAAGAGTTGATGAGAAAATCTTCATACTAAACCCTCAAATTTGTATTTTAATGGACAGAAAAAATGTTTTGGTTAAAAATTACTCATGTTTACTAAAACATTCTCCCTCCTTTCTTCGTCTTACAAAAAAAAAAAACAATTTTCAAAATCCCTACATTTAAAAAATATAGGTTTTTCAAAGAGAAAAAAATCTTCTGAAAAGTTTCTGGCCAACACTGGACCATACTATCAAAACTTTCGGCTTCAAAGGCTCTTTTGGATGGCTGCAACATACTTGCTAGCTGCAAGCTGGGCTACACTTGAGAAAAACAACAGTACAATATTGAAGGATGGTCAAAATTAGTGGTATTCAGTGTAATGAAACTAATTGAACTTACTAATAATTACCGTGGTTAAATTGCAAAAGATGCCTGCAAAAGTGATTTCAAAATCTCCAAGCCTTGGGATACTTGAAAAGCACATTTAAACATATCCAACCTCAGAATAATCCCAGGAGAAACAGCCCTAGACAGTTTAAAGGTCAGTTATGGTAGTGACAATAACATGAAGAAATTTTTCAGTATTGCCAGTAAAATCAATATATGCTTGTTGCCTGAAATTATGAGATCACAGCACAGTTTTTGACTTTTTTTTTATTTCTGAGCAACTAACATTTTAACTTACTGTCTTGGAGGATGTGCTAGTCTCACTGACCCGTTTATGGGATAAAGTGACTCAGTTCTGGCAGGCAATTTAGGTTCGAATAAGACCAGGAGGGAGTCGACAATCAGGCACTTGTGGGGCCATGGCAGAACTGGAGTATAACCAGGGCCCTCCACACCACAGAGAAGCACCCAACAAAACAGGGAAACATTTCACAATGCTCAAGGGATGGTGATGGCTGAGACATCTGCTTCTCAGGCAGCCACAGAGGTGGCCTGTGAGGAGTTGCAAGAGGCAGGCTGCTCAGTCTGCACAAAGCCTCACTGCCTCAGGAAGCTAAATGTAACAACTGGGGACTAAAAAGTTCTGCAAGCCTCCCTCTTTTGATGGGAGGTGTAACTCTTGCTCATACAAGTCGTGTCCTGACCTCACTGAGAACATTCACGTGAGCAATTGGTATTGGTGTGGTTGAGAGTTGGGCAGTCAAATCCCTAACCTGCTTTCTGTTGTTGAGAGATTTACAGTATTTATTGATTTTGTTAAAACAGCCTCTTTCCTCAGATGAACCTGTGTCCCTATTCACAAGTGGCATTTCCTAACAATGTGTTTTTTCCTCTCACAGATTCCTCCATCTCCAGTTGCCCATATCACAGTGAAAACTGTGACTGTCACAGGCTCTCCCACACGTGACTGCACTTCTACAGAGGAGTAAGTTCCTTCCCATCCCTCCAGCCAAGCCATGCCTCTTGCTTCCCAAAGGCAGGGAGAGGTTGGTAAAGGATATGCTGACTATATCATTAACCACAGCCGCTTATTCAGCTCAGTGCCCATTACAATTCTTTTATCACTGGAAAAAAAGTCATCTTAATTCAAAATATAAGTATTTTCAAGTATTTTCCCTCTAAGAAGTCTACCATATTTGCCCTGAGGTAGCTTAGAAAATGTAATTAACTAAAAAAAATCAAACAAAACCAAACCAAAACAAAAAAAAAAACCAAAACACAAAAAAGCACAAACCTTTAATGTCTTTAAGCATAATTAAGGAACAGCTTGACCGCAGTACAAATGCATTCATCAGCAGGCAGTTAACTCAGACATGGATCTATGTGATATTTGAGATGCTGCCATTGCCACCTGAGGGACAGTAACAAGCTGATTGTCACAGTGTCATCGCACTCTGTACAGAGACATGTAAATCCCCCTCAGCTAGTGGAGTTCACCCCTCCTAGGTGCTGCCACATGGTCCCCGGGACTTTGGTGGAAGGGCCCAGCTCTCTCCTTGGACAACCTACCAGCTTCTTGTTGAGTGACAAGTGCTAGAGAGGATGCACTTAGTAGTGGCCCCACTTGTGTGAGTGTCTACTCTGATAGCAAGGGAACAGGGGCACCAAGTGGAAGGGTGGCAGCTGCAGCATCCAAGCCCACTGTCCTGCACAGCCCCTGCTCATTCCAGACTTGCCAGTCCCAGGGACAGGCCAGCACGGACATATCTGGTTGAAACAACGAGACAGCTTTTGGTTTTGAATGGCTGGTCTCCATAAGCAGGGAAGAAGGGCCATGGAGATGCACTCTGTACACATCTGTGCTTTATTTGCCAGACACAGGCACCGCTGGAGAAAGACAACAGAGTATGACCTGGCCCTGCCACCAGGAGCAGAAGCTTCCCTGCCACTGACAGGAGGCAACCTGTGCGGGACACCCAGCCTCCTGAGGAAGATGTGGATGAAGCACAAGAAGAAGTCAGAGTACCTGGGGGCAACAAACAGTGCCTTTGAGGCGGACTGATGAGGCTCAGCATCACTTGGAAAGGCAGAAGGTCCTTTAGCCAAGGTGCTTTATGGAACAGACATAGCACAGCTCATCCAGGAAAACAATATCCTTTTTATTACTTCATGCCATTGCCTCAAAACAGTGGGAGAAAGGCTAACTAAGATAAAAGTGGTGAACATGATGCAACTCACTGGCCTTTTTTTGTTGCATTATACTAAAATCCCAAGTATCCCACTAGATTTACAACTTGATTCAAAGATGCTGAAACTACTGCTGACCCATTCGCCATTTTCTATGTCCTGTCTGAATCAGCTCAGACTTACAACAAGAAAAGCCTACCAAGAGGTTTGTGTATTCCTGCAAGGCAACAGATCAGTAACAGAGTGCCATTAAATCCCAGGAATCTACTTGTCGTGTACTGCTGCTTGCTGTCTTTCCCCTCTCATATCATGAGAAAAAAAACATATCTTACGATATGCTTGGTTGAATGACACATCCTAAACATTTTTCTTACTTCAGTTTCAGTATTTCAAGGCTGGAGTAGAAGATGCAAAAATTTTAAAACAATGGGCCAGAATTGAGAAAATTTGCAAACATATGTACCAAACTTGCGATTGATGTTTCAAAGTGTTCTGCCAGATTAAGCTATGAACAACTGAATAACCTCAAGGGATACTTTCTGCCATAGAACCTGCTTACATGTGAAGTAGTAGTCAGCAACTTAACCTCTACCCATGTGGTAGAGGATATTTCATTAAGTGCACAAAATACTAGGAGGAAAGAAAACATATAAATGGTGCAACTAGGTAACTAAACATGAGATATTTGCATGTAGGAGACCTGTGCTTATGAATAGATAGATTTAATGGAATTTGCTTAATTTTTTTTTCTCAATTTAGAAATAGCTGGTCAGGGCCTCTTGGGTTTTTGTCTCAAAAAAAGAAAAAACCAGCTTTACAAAAAGGTTTTCACCATGGTTACAGATAATATTACACTAGTCATGAGCAGTACTTGCCTCCTATGAGTGCTCCCCTGGTTCTTATAAAAGACTTTGGTTTCCCTGAATACAGAAGTTTATTTTTCAAGCTGGAGAAAGAATATATCCTGTTGCTCATAATAATGACGATCTCTAATCTAACAGCCAGTGCACCAAAGCATAAATTAAAAATACAAGTCTTACTCTGTGACAGAAGCAGAAGGAAGAAGCTCCCATCTGAAACTTGCTTGCCAGCAGCCAGTGCAGTAAAATGCACTGAGATGCCATCAAAAGCAGTGCCATGGTACATACTGAGGTGAGGAGGCTCAGACAACTGTCCCTGGTCAGGGGTCACGAGCTCAGAAGTACCAGGGTACCACCTGGCCAGGAGAGAAAGGCAGACAGGCCCTCTGGCTTTGGGCTGAGCAGGGTAGAGCAGTACACAGGAAAGGTTTGCAGCTTGACAGCCTGAGCAACCGAAGTCCTTGGAATGGGAAAGCAAACGGAACAGTGGCTTCACAGAGAAAATGTGCCCAGTGGCTCTAGGGAAGCCAGCAGGGGACACCTATGTGGGGCTAGACATGATGGAGGAGGCAGTAGAGTGGGGATGGAAGCATTATTTAAAAAGATAACTGTGGCTTTTCATACAGCCAGAGCCCACTCCAGAGTCTGCCAAAGAGAGAGAGAGGCACTAGACCTTCATGAAATACCTCTGTCAGCCCTCACATTCAGTTGTCTGTCACTGCTTCAGTCACAGGCTCCTCTTTCAGAGATGCTCAGCTATTCAGAGTACAACCTTGCAACCAGCAATCACACAGACTTTCAGTCCTCCTTACCAAAGGTAAAAGTCTTTTTCTGACCCAGCAGCCTGATACAGGGATAATCTGCTCTCCTGCTTTTGTTTCTTGCTCCTGGGAGCAAGGAGAACACAGTTCCTTGTTAACCACGTGCTGGATGTGGCAATGGTGACCCAGTATTAACCATGTGCCACCTACCACAGCATGTGAAAGCAATGCCAATGCCCACTGAAGGCTGCACACCTGAGCAGTTCCAGAGCAGTTTTCTCACAGGAGTCCACCCCACCTTTAAATTGGAGCCTGATACATTGGCTCTGTGTAATAGTCTGGGCACCGTGACCCTGCCAACACCAGGTCCTCTATGACCTCTATGAACCAAGTTGGAGCCATGGACAGGAGTTTCTTGAAAACATCTTTTACAAATATCACCAACCACACTGCAGCCCCCACCCCAGCCCAGAACAGTAATCACTCATTCCCTTTCTTGGTCTGATTTCCTAAACAAAGCAAAAAATAAGAATGGTGGACAGACATTGGGAAAAGTCCGTTTGCTGAAATTGGTAATTAGGAGAGTGAGCATTTGTGGTACCTGCCCTTGTAGCTAACATGACCCATAGAGCACTCAAACAAACTCCAGGGAAGCAAGAGTTTTGTCTGTTGAGAAAGTTGTATTGTAGTATTTAATTTGTTAATTAATAGCTTTAAGCAGTATGAGGATGGAGGCAGAGATGATTAATATTTCTTCTTAATAATTGCTGTATCTTGAAATGTGTATTTATGTTTTTCTTATTTATTTAATTTATAATTTGGATCTACAAGAGGAGGAGATATTTACAAGAAGCATATTTAATTTTCTTGTATTTCAGGTACTGCTGTGAAGATTTTTTGTATTGCAGTAGATATTTATTTTATTGATTTAAAAATATGTTCTATTATAAAAAAAAGTAAATAAACAAGTAGCATGTGGTAACCTATGGGTCTCAGTGACTTAAGAGGTTTTGGGAAGCATTTAGTAGAAAACAAAGGCAGGGTGCATGGTACTTAAAAATACAAACACCTGATACCAAAGAACGCGAAATTTGCTCCCCATAGAAAGAACCTGAAAGTGTGTTTGTGAGCAGCTCCAGTATTTTACAGGTGGTAGAATCATTGTTTGTTATCAGATACACAGAGAAAAGCCCTGGCACTGCCAGGAGTCAGATATTAGATACACCTTTGCACAGCTGACCTCAAATGCATTCCAGACACAACATTAAATGTCATTGCGGCCCTGGGAGGAAAGCAGCGTCACCTCCCTCCCATCAAATAAGAGCACCAAGACAGAGACTCCTCAAAGGTAGTTAAGGCTCTGGTAGAGAATAAAACGAAGTGCTCCCTCTCTTCATCTTACCAGCTGACAAGAAAGTCAGTGAACTTACCTCAAACACAACATTGTCTTTGGAGACCCCCTGCTAAACCACAGCGCAACCCGAGAAGGGTGGCACAGGGACGCAGGGGCTCAGCCTAGGGGAAATGACTCAGGACTGCAAGTGGAAAGACTTTAAGATACAAGGAAAGAAAATATATCGTGTTGGCATTCTTTACCAAACCGGACTTCAAAGCTCATCTATTAGAGGGTGACTTGTCCCCCTGCCTGCCGCAGTGCTCGTACCTCACACAGCTCTGGTGAAAAGTTGCCAAATTTCTGTTCCTTCCATTACAGACAGCATTATGTTTAAAATGAGCAAGCCAGGGAGTGTCCTCTTGGTGAGTCTCCACACCACAGGACTTGGCACAGATTTTTTCTAGGACCTGGCCTCTGCTAGAAACTCCTCTGCAAATACCTGACCTTTAGCCATGCATTAAAAATATCGGCATGAGTATGCAAGAGAATGTGGATATGCAATACATTTTCCAGATGAAACTGTACAGAAAGCAATGTTGGGTTGACTCCAGCACACTGTCAGAAAAATGTGGAATAGTGATAACTAAAATAAGTGAACTGTACTATTTTTCCACCAAAGACACAGAGATTGTCAACTTTGCAGCTGAAAGCATTGCCTCTGGCACTACCAGGCACAAGCCTGTTGTTATAGTTTATAACATCTGTCAGAAGATGCATTTTTCAGACATGTTTCATGTCAATTTATAATTTGGCATTCCCTGGAACTACAGACTAACTGGGTCACTGACCTGACAGAAATAGACTGCATGATGACAATCCATTCCACTTACGGTAGTTTATAGTTCATTTCCGAAAAAAAGGTTTTCTAATTTCTTCTCACGCTTTCAAAAATATTTTTGTAATAGAGCTAGTCACTAAAATATCCATCATTACTTTGCATACCACTTTATTTAAATAAACTGTAGTGAATTTAAGGCTATCCTACTATATAAAATAATTCCTACTGATGCGTGAAAAAAAATAAATCTCAGATATGCTTTGCCTGCCTTTCTTCCCCTTTTGCTCTCAACTTACAGATCCTGTAGCAAACAGTGTCGCCAGAAGAGCCAATTATGGACACATGGCTGTTTGAGGGAATACCACAGACTTTATACAGAAAATATTTAAACTCAAACATTGGCATCTGCAGAACAATTTCATGTCTGAGAGTTACCCAGCCAGAGAAGTTGCAATATCAGAACTTGCACACACAAAAAAACCCTGAAACAAGTCAGATTTCTCAGATGAAACTCCTCCTCAGAAAGCCATATGTGAACTCTACAAACAATGAAGATGTTGAATAGCGACAATTATTTTAAGAGAGGTTTTTAAAATCTCAACATAGATGATTCACAGGTGAGCAGCTCGACCCTACATGGTATTGAAAAACTTTTTTTTTTAAGTGGCAGAACCATTATTAAAATAAATGGGCACACAGATCACTAGTATGAAAACTGAAGTGATTAGAAGGAAAAGAGAGAGTTGAATATATAATTCAGTTAGATGAAGGCCCAGAAAAACTGAGAAGTTGAGTTAAAAGGGGGTTGAAATGGAAACCGTTGTGAATGGAAACCCTCTTCTCAGCCATCAGGTTGGAGTCACTCTTAAAGAGACATTATATTTAACAGCTTTTTATTAATAAGCCTCGGGGAGCAGTCAGGGCCTCAGACCCAGTCCAAAGGTAGTAGGTCAGCACAGACACTTGCTGGCAGTCCCCAGACTCAGCCAGATGTTCCACCATGTCAGACCTCTTGTCCTGCAGATTCACCTGCCTAATATTCTGCTCTATTTTAGACTGATATTTTCCTGCTGAGCCACCACATTTTGCATAAAAGCGGTGAAACAGTAAGAGGCAGCACACAATCTATTTGTCTGATGCTTCCTTTTTTGGGGAGGATGGGGTGCACTGGGCCATAAAGCAGAACAGACGCACAAAAGCCCACGCAGCATGCACGGTTCTTCACCCCTCTGTCTGACAAGGCACTTTTTGGTGAAGTGAGCCCCAGGCAGAGCCGTGCCGGGAGCTGACGCTGTGAAACCAGACACTCTGCCTGTGATGTGCCAGCAAAAGCAAAGGCGGAGCTCAGGAAGCAACAGCCTCCTCAGCAAAGCTGTTGCCCAAGTAACAAGGACCACTAAACACATAGCAAAAACTTCAGAAATTACAGGCTACTTTACTTGGTAGGGACCTTAAATATCATCTAGTTCCAAGCCCCTATCATGGGCAGGGACACCTTTCACTAGACCAGGTTGCTCAAAACCCCATCCATCCTGGCCTAGAACACTTCCAGGGATGGGGCATCACAGCTTCTCTGGACGACCTTGTTCCAGTGCCTCATTACACTCATAGTGAAGAGTTTCTTGCTAATATCTCATGTAAACCTACCCTATTTCAGTTTAAAGTCATTCCCTTATGACCTATCACTACATGCCCTTGTAAAAAGTCCTGCTCCAGCTCTCCTGTAGCCCCCTTTAGGTACTGGAAGGCTGCTCTAAAGACTCCCTAGAGCCTTCTCTTCTCCAGGCTGAACAACCCCAACTCTCTCAGCCTGTCTTCGTAGGAGAGGTGTTCCAGCCCTCTGATTATCTTCATGAGCCTCTTCTGAACTTGCTCCAGCACATCCAAATCTTTTTTATGTTGGGGGCCCCAGAGCTGGACACAGTAGTCTGGGTGGGGTTTCACAATACTTATCCATAATGAACCCTTATAAATGGTGTTCATCAACACTCAGACTCTTGCAATGTCTATTCATTTAATCTCAATGGCAATATTTAAAAATCCAAACTTAGCTACTAATTTTAAAAAATAATTTACATTATAAATAGAAATAACAAGTTATTTAGCTGATGACATGCTTGAGGTGGGTCATCCCATTAGCTGAAGAGACACAATATTCTAGGGGAAAAAGAAATAAGCCTCCAATCATTTTTCTCCACGGACAAACTCTTTGACCCAGCAGCTGACACACCAGGCTACTCTGCCTCAGCGCACCAGCGATTTGCAGCAAAGACAAAGGTCTGTGCAAAGCTGCCATGAGGCAGGCAAGGCTGTGAATGAAGGATGCTATCAGCCAGCCTGGGGGTGTGTAAGGGGGCCTTTATTTTGTGACTGTTGCACCCACCTCAGCTGACACCTGATCAGTGCACCCTAAGGTAGTTATGTAGTTGTCTTGGAGCCAAGTTCAAGGTTCTCACCAGACAGAGGGTCTCCATGTGGAAAGCAGATACTCAGTAACTCTGCCGTGCCTCAGATAATGCCCTTTCATCCCTGACCTTTGCTACCTAAAACAATGAGACAATGTGACAGGGGAGTCACCCCACATGTGCAAAACAGCTACGGTCTGGTTGCCACTGCTACAGCACCTGTTTTGCCCATGTCAATCCTCCTGCAGGTAAGGAGCAGGGAAGAGCCGTGTGATCCTTTTCTAGGGACCCTGTGGAGCAGAAGGACTCAGCCAAGGCTGCTCTTCTCCCTGGCCCATGACATTCCTGGCTGTGCTGCAGCCAGGACACATTCCTGTGTCTCCTCATGCCAGGGAGGGCAGGTAAATACAGTGCTCACACATCCTTCCGTGCAAGGATGCAGAACAGGGTCCAGCCCCATTTGCATACCAGCCACAGCAGCTGGACACATCGAGGCACTCTCTGCAGCCCACCACCTCAGCTCCAGCTCCCAGGGCTAAAAATACCTTCTTACTGCCAGGCTGGAGCCACAGTGCAATGAAGGCTCAGCCAGAGTCATCAGTAGAGATGGAAGCCCTCCAAATCCAAAAAGCATGGGCATTAGCAGCCTCAGCCCCCCCCCCGCAACAAAGGGTCAGTAAAACCCTTCCTCACCTGGTCCAGCCACTAAAGCAGGCACCAGCAGCACAGACAGCACAGTGAGGAGGAAGACTGCACTTCAGACTGATAACAACCTTTATGTAAAAGCAAGAGAAATGGCTTATTCACATGACTTTTGCTTTTTGCCATGACAGGCTGGCTTACACCAGCCTTGCCACCACACAACAGCCCCCAGCAGGCATCTGAAGTA